TATATATATATATATATATATATATATATATATAAGAGAGAGAGAGAGAGAGAGAGGCAAGATACTGCCAACATCAACAATAGAAGGTGGTACACTTTATGACTGTTTTTCCATGTTGATCTCGTTCAGTCCATGATAATATACTTACCCAGAATGTACCCAGAATGAATTAGTATAGATCCATCGCACTTTTTCATTTGTGTGTGGGACAAGGCCAATATTCTGCCAGCTACAGCAGGCACATCCAGAAAAACAGTTAACCTTATCCTGGCCTATAATAGACCAACTTACCAAGACAAAATGTCAACGAGGATACCATGCCACAAACACTCACATGGAGTTGCAGATTAAATGTTCACTAGTACTTCAATAATCTTACAGTTTTTATATTGAAATGTAAGAAATATTTTAGTTTTAAAATGTTAATTTAACTGTGATGTCCAATAAAGACACACCAAGATGGTAGGAAAAATTAAACACCAAATAAGCTAGCAATTTCTAAGGCAACCAACTAATAATTACATTTATCATTCTTGGTTGCAGCAAAGAGGTTCCTTGGAATAAGGAAATGACATGGTATACACTGTTATGATGTAGGCCAACTTATTATACATCAACTCAAGTTGAGACCAATTAGAATGAGATCAAGTCAAATATGATTCTAATTTGTATTTGTGGATGTAATGGGTCATATGTTGTATTCATATATGGTTGATGTTAATTTATTCCCCTAAGACACAAAAAAGTAAGCATATTACTAGATCTGCAGTTTTCTCGCACTGCAGTCTTATACTTGAGAATATCCACCTGAACAGCCTCTATAATTATTATATTTGGATCTTTGAAATTCTGTTGAAGCCCTTGAATACCAGCCGCACTGGTAATATTTCTTGAGGAACAATGGAGCACATAAGCAACATCCAAGATTAAGCGGGCATTACTGAGATCCAAAGTGAGATGCCACAAATGGTTTGATTTTTAAGAGAGACAAAATGGCAAATGGGACAAATATCTAGAGTTTGTACAAAGTTCTGGAAGAGCAAATAGGCACAATAAAATTCTGGGAAAGTTCCAGAGCAACAAATTCTTTACCAAGCCACATGAAGCCATCTAAGAGAGACTACATCAGCCACGTAGTTAAAAAAAAACAATGCAAGATGGCAAAAGAAAGTACATGTTCATGATCTGAGTCAAGAGTATCACATCAGAAAATGAAGGAAGAATACATTAGGGACTAAACTTGGATATTAAATCTCAGCTACAATTTGGCAGAACAATAATGCATTCTTTCTTTTTCAAACTTTATTCCAGTCTTTCTTTCTGAGTAGCATAGCATCAAATTTTGGTTTTGATAGGATTCAGAAATTTTTCATATTTCTAAACAACCACTAATAAGAAGTCTCAGATACTTTATACGACTAACAAGAGAGGAAACACAAAGGAGAATACACCAACCAGAAGTGACCTCCGCTTCCTTCTCTTTAATCCTTTGAATGATGATATCCGCCAGTGTGGGCTGTGGACCTGTCTTAGTAGACATAAATGCTGCCAAGAGCTTCTCGTCCTCCTCGTCAATCTCCACCTTAACAGAACACAAATCTCCAACTCTATACAATCGCCAATACAAGAAAAAGAAAGCAATGCATAAAAGACTGGACAGAAACAACTCACTTCGTCGACGTCATACTGACTCTGGGTCTCAGAGAAGTCGTCGAATGCACCGGCGTCTTCAGCGTCGCTATCCGAAGCGACGGACGGATCGACCGACACGGCGGAGAAGGGAGTGCGGTTCTCTTCCTCAGCTTCCTGGAGTATCTCCTTCTGCTGATTGATAGCTTCCTTCAGAATTTTCGAGCTTAGGTCCGATGAGATCAACTGCGAAAGGGCAAAGGACTCGTCTTTATCAGAGTTAGAAGGCAAGAAACAGTCAGAGAGGGGACAGAGAGCGAGGCTTGTACCTCGTCTCCGGATTGGTGGTGCTTCGGTGGCCGGGCGCGCTTCTTGGAGACCACGGAGTCGTCTGCGTCGAGGGCCACGCGGTGCTGCGGCGGCGCCGGCTTCTCCTTCCGCTTCTTGCCCGCCATTGAGGCGGTGATCGAACCACGGACGGCGGAGCGCAGCGCGAATTGGAGCGGAAGCGGAAAGACTTGGAGCAGAAAGCCCTAACGAGGGTTGTCGCGGGTCGTCTATCGGTAGATGTAGCACAGAATCACGTTTCATGGACAGCTAAGACTCTGTAAGGACACAAAGAGACCCAACGGATGTAATTTGGTTGGGTTCGATCGGTTCGGTTATTGTGTGCACCAATTTTGGTTGATGAACCAAACCCGAATCGAGCCAGAATTAAGGCTTAGTCTAACTCGGATCAATGATAAATGAGATTTCGAAATATTTTTTTTTTCTGTAATGATAAATGAGATTTCATCTTAAAATCTTATTATCAATAGTGAAGATTTTTATCAACTAAGTTAATTATTTTTTAAAAAAATATTAAATAATGTTTCGAAGATAAAGCATCCGAACTCTTCTCGGTCATACCCAAAAGATTTTAGCCCACATGGATTTGAACTAAGTCGAGCTTACCCAACTATGATCGACGTATTCATTCTACTCAATTATCGACATTGGTTTCAGCTGTAAACTTGAGGAAAAAATAGTTAATTCAACTGCATGATAAGACTTGATTTGTGGATCAATAAAACATTGTTATTATGTTATTTAGAGTCAAAATTATTGTTGGACTCGGATTAATAAAGGATCCTCATTCATGTTTGAAAATATTTCTTGATAATTCGACCAAACAGTTTAATTACTGCATCAATTTATACTAATATTTGTTCATGAAGCTGTTTCCAAGCTTTGATGAGAGTAGAATCTCATCTCTCATTATGTTTGGCCATCAATTCATCATTATTGCCTTCATATTTCAAGCTCATCATGAGTAATCAAGCCAAGATTATATGGAATATATAGAGAGAGATATATGTCATATTTTGCACACATAGCACAATGTACTCTCTAAAAACATAAAACATGATTGACTGCTAAGATTTTATGGAATATGAGTATATTGTGCAGGATATGACAAAAGAATCCATTAAATGGTTTCAGATCCATTAGGATGTTGTAAGACTACTAGTGGTGATTGAAATCTTGAATGGACCAGCTTTGGCACTTCTAAAAACTCAGCTGTTAAAAGAAAAAAAATGGAAAATTGGAAATATTACCTGCATCATAAACACCTCAGCACATCCACCACAGATAAAGGAAACTTTGAGTCCAGGCTACCTTCTGATAAAATATTCATTACATGTCATCCAACAAGTTCTTAATTTACAATGTGCAGAGTACTATAGAAGCAAACTGTATTTTGTAGAGCCCAACATTCATCCTAATGAACCTGTCCAGGTAATTTCAAACCCAGATAAGAACACAGATAAGAATCCATCAGAAGAATAATCTTAAAAGCTCAAAGCAAATTGTTTCGATTTTGACCAGCAAATGATTTTCTTTGAGAAAAGAAAAAGTGAATGTCATCACAAAATAGTTTCTTCTTTAAATTTTCTAAGTCATGGATCTTGAGGAGTATATGGAAGTATCCAACAAAGCTTTCAACAGTACCTGATTTGTTTCTGATATAAGTTACACAACTGTAACCAATGTTACAAACCAGTGATACAACAAAGCTTTACAGCAAGTGTAACCAAAGAGGATGACTCTTCCAATTGGATAAAATCCCTTTATACAGCAAAACCTGCCGGAAATCTAGCAGCAAAATGAATATTAGAAGTAAGATTCACGTAATAAGTTATAGAGTCACAAACAATGGGTAGAGTAGACCAAATTTTCTTGGAAGAAGAATGACAGCACAGAGTGAAACATAACTGCAATAGTGCAGGCCAGTCTAATCCTTTTGCACCAAATGCTCCGCATCACCAAGTTCAACCTCAATTGGCTGCCATTCCCTTCTGGTATCAATTAACATTTCAATCTGCTCCAGAGACTTGCCTTTGGTTTCGGGAACATACATGTTTATAAATATCACAGACACAGCTGAAATTGCTGAAAAAATGAAGAAGGTTCCTGCCACAGTAATGGCACGGCACATGGATAGGAAAGACATAGCAATCAGGCCACTGCTCACTCTATTTCCTACAGTTCCTAATGCAACTGCCTGGGCACGCAGCCTCTGAGGGAAGATTTCTGAACTCAATACCCAACAAATGGGGCCGATTCCAACTGAAAAAAAAGCTACATTTCCACATACAGACAATATTGCTACCAAAATTCCCACTCTTGGGTAAACCAGATTATTTCCGAGCAATGAAAGAGCCAGGCCCAAACAAAACAGGCAAACAGTCATGCCAATTGTGCTAACATATAACAAAGGCTTTCTACCAACTCTGTCAATTAGAAGGATTGCAACTAAGATAAATGTAGTTTTAGCGATGCCAACAGCAACAGTTGCAGCAAGAAGTTTGCTGTCAGACTTGATTCCTGCATCTCTGAATATGGTTGGACTGTAATATACAGTTGCATCAATCCCACTGATTTGCTGAAAACACTGTATGCCAATCCCAATAATCAGCATCCTACGCAATGTGGGGGAAGGCCTCAGGAACTCCCGCCACACAGCTTTTTCCACATACTTCTCTCCCTCCACCACACCAGCAGCTTCCTCTATTTCACGCAATCTATTCTCGACTTCTTTCTCATTCTCATTAATCCTCATTAACACCGATCTTGCCTCTTCTAGCCTGTTCTGCATAACCAACCACCTAGGAGATTCGGGGATCACAAACAAGGCAAATCCAATGAAAACAGATGGAAGAATCCCAATACCAAGCATTATCCTCCAGCTTATGTGTTCAGAAAGACCAGAGAAAACATAGTTTGAGATGTATCCAAGAAGAATTCCAAGATTTATAAAAATCTCAGGGAAAGAGGTGAATGATCCTCGAGAAACAGTTGGAGATATCTCTGCAATATAAACAGGTGCAATCATGACCCCAAATCCTATTCCAACTCCAGCCAGAAGCCTGCCTAAAATCAGCACTTGAAAAGATGGTGCAAAAGCCATTATAGCAGCACCAGTTTGGAAAATAATTGCAGCTAAACCAATGGTCCATTTCCGGCCAATTGCATCTGAGGTTCTTCCAGCTGCTAAACTACCCACAAGTGAAAGAATGCTCAAACACCCAACTAAGACTTCTTGCTGAACTTCGGTTATATGCAAATCCTTCTGAATGAAAATAATGCATCCGCTCATAACACCAACATCTGCAGTATATAGGCCACAATTACAGGAGGTAAGTTTTGGATCCCTTATACATGTCTAGAAAAATAAGATATTGAAGGATTAAACTTGTCCAGCATCTACTGCATTAGCCTCTAAGATATAATGTATTTTCATCATTTGTTTAGTATGATTTGTAGTATCCAGTTGGTGTCACCAAGAGTCTATGTTGACCTGTTATATCATTCAAAGACATCTTGATCGGCCTAACAGAACCATTTGCAAAATTTCATCCCCAAGCTCAGCATTTAAAGATACTAATCAATTTCAAAGATCCAATTTTTGAATTCCCTAATAAATCTGCTAGTCATATTGATATATTTCCTTCCTATACTATCATCTAAAGAATAGAATGTCACGGCCACCTTCCCTTACTTGGATTATAGCGCATCTCTCTCTTATTGTGGGAAGTCAAATCTTTCCCAGATTGCATTTCCCTTCAGGTACCGTCGATTTGGACATTCTTATTGGGTATTGCATTCAACCTGTGACCTAGGATGACTTTGCGGTCTTATGACCTAAGTTGCAGTGTCGGCGCCCCCGCCCCCTGCCCCTTCTAAAATGACGGGTTCAGAGACCTTCATGACCATCCTCACTTCGACATTCAAGAAACTACTTCTGAACAGAATCCAAATCGGATCTTTAAGAGCAAGGGGTGGCAATAAAGGAGGAGCTTTTCTCTCACCGTAACCGAGGAGGACGGAATTTAGAGAAGCAAATATCGCACAAGCGAAGATATATCTGTTGCTTTCGATTCCCCGCCTGGGTCCGTCGTCGCTGAGGTCGGCGTCGATCCGCCCGTACCTCCCATTGCCTCCGAGGCCGGGAAGCATCGAGACTCCCTTCCCATCCCCAGTCCCGTCGCCAATCGCCTTGTCATCGCCCAAAGCCATCACTCTTCTCTCTCTTTCTCTGGCTCTCAGCTCTCCGGATTCGGAGTGCGGTGAAGAGGAAGAACAGGAGACCGCAAATAGGGAAAAGCTCTTCGGGGAGGAAGGAAATTTCTCACGCGATTTGGGCTTCTCCCCCGTAAGAGAGCGACCAAGACCAGCGCAGCCGGCAATCGAGGAAATTGACTTCCGGTTCCCGCTGCTATTTAGATATTTTCATTTTCCAAGTCATACTAACACCGACTCAATTACCTACCATTCTGGTCACTGGTTAGTTTCCGTGGGGTCCACATTTGAGTCGGGAACAGTTCCGACAGCGTTCGTTATGAGCATCGTGGTCGTCATGAGTTGGCCTCGTTCTTTTCCTATCCAGTGACGTGGACGTCTGCCATCGGTTCTGCAGCCTTCCTTTGACATGGTACTCTTCTTCTGCGAACAGGTCGTGCCCTAATGAGCCAGGCGAAGCTGTTGCTGGCCTTCTCTGCTAATGTCCAAGTTCCTGTTGCTGGTGAAGCCAATCAAAAGGTACTCGAGAGATCCACACTGATATCATCTGTTTGTTCTAGTTCAGATGAAGACAGTGTCGTTGACTGCACACCGATTCGGAAGAGAGAGCCGAGTTTGACTAGATCAGCAGAGCATCAGCTTGTTGCTGTATTTATTGCAGACTAAACTTGTACAACAACGCTCTGTTTACAGCGCCATGAATGCAGCTGTGTGCACGCTAACCAGTAGATGAGATGCCAAATTCCGTAATACAGAAGAGCCATGACACAGAGGAATCACATTAAGCCAACCCAACCAGCTTCTCACTGATCTCCCACAGCTTCTGGGCTTTCACAGCATCACTAGCTTCCTCAGATAGCTGGTTCTCAAAGCTCGCTGAGTTATTGTTCCAGCTCCAGTACACTCCAGACTTCAACAAGCTCGGATCGCCCACGACCTGCAGGAATCGAAGAACAATTGTAAGAGTTTGCGTTTCATTGATCGATCGCTGCCTTGGGATCTGTACCTGTGCGAGCCTTTGCCCTGATTCGTCCTCGGAGACGAAGCCCTTCGTGATGAACTTCTGGAAAGGAGGGAAGAGGAGCCGGAACAGGGGGATGTGTTCTCTGAAGAGGCCGGTGGTGGCGATGCAGCCCGGGTAGAGCGACGCGAATGTGATGCCGGTGTCCTCGTGGAACCTCCTGTGCAATTCCTGCATCGTGAGCATGTTGCAGATCTTGCTGTCCTTGTACGCCTTCGCCCCGTCGAACGCGCCTCCGTCGATCATGGCGGAGCTGTTGCGGCCGTCGAGTCCGCCCGCGAGCCCCCGCAGGTCTCCCAGTCCGGCCTTTGGCGGCACATTCCCGGCCAATGTGTTGGTGTTCCCTGAACGGGTTTCGCAGATGCTGCGGTCAGGTCCTCTAAATTGCAGCTGCTGGTCGAGGGTGGCGTGCACAAGTACCTGTGATCGAGCCGAGGATGATGAGGCGACGAGAAGGGTAATCGGATTTCTTCAGGTCCTCGAGGAGCATGTTGGCCAGCAGGAAATGCCCAAGGTGGTTGACGCCGACGCTCATCTCGTACCCGTCGGCCGTGTACGTCGGCGTGCGGGCGGTGGGCCGGTAGATCGCCGCATTGCACACGAGCACGTCGAGGGGCCTCCCGGACTGCCGGAAGGCATGGACGAACTGCCGCACGCTGTCGAGCGATGCGAGGTCCAGGTGCATGATGGAGTAGTTCTCCTTGGCCATGCCGGCCGACTGCGCGGCCTTCTCGGCCTTGAGGAAGTCCCTGCAGGCCATGACAACGTGCCATTTCTCGGTCTCGGCGAGAGCCTTGGCAGCGGCGAGGCCGAGTCCCGAGGAGGCGCCGGTGATTACCACCACGCCCTTCCGCAGCACCTTCTTCCCGTGCACGGCGGATTGGTTGAGCCCTGGAGCTGCAACCGCTGTGGTCTGGGCTTTCACTACTCCAACTGAATGATTCGACTCTCTCTGCAAGTTCTCACAATTAGGATCTGCTGATCGATCGATATCCTTCTCAGATTTGCTCAGGTTAATATGGGATCGACTACCTTAGTACGAAGAACTGGAGCGTTGAACTGAGACTTGTGATGCTCCAAGATGGAAGACCCGAGGAATGCAGATTCCTTGATTGTGCAGGCCACCTTCCCCTGCACCAAACTCACCGAGCTGAGCCTCAAATTGCACGCAGGGATGAAGGCAGTAAATGAGAAGGATGCTGACCTCTTTCCGGGCAGAGAGAGCTGATGGAAGGAAGGACGCCTGCAGAGCCATCGAAGAGTAAGCTAAAACCAGTTGATGTGGTTCTGATTAGAACGAGGAGATGGAGGAGGAATTTATACTGCCCAACGACGAAAGGAAAAAAGAGCAGTAAGGGATAAGGTAGTACGCGAAAGATCGCTCGGTCGTCCAATGAAACCTCGAGCGTTAGATTTCTTCGGCGGATAGATTTTTGGGTGGATATTTCTGTATCTTTTCTATCAAGTCAATAGAGTTGGGCTGTTGGGTTCAGGCAGCTTCCACCGAGTGCTGAGAGTTGTGCCTCGAGTTATTGGAGGAGATTGCTGGGGTCCACAGCTTGGAGGGTGTTCTGGAAACGAAGATGCTGTTGGAGGGTTGACAGCTGATGAGGCGTGGCCAGATGGATGATGATGGGCGTCATGTGCGTTGGTTCGGTGGGGTGGGCCAAAAAGTGGGGACGTGGGATGCACGTGACAGGAGGGCTCTCCGGATGGCACGTGTACGTCTTGGTCGAGTCCAACTCCGGGCTAATTAGCACAACAAAACATATTTCCCAGTAATTGACGTGCAGATATCGAGGAATAATTACATATTATCCTCATAATTAACTATGATCAGTATTCTATTTCTATACATATTATCCTTTAGCCCATCGAACAACTGGATGTACTCCGTGCAAAGGATTCATTAAATCTGGCGATGAACTATTCTTGTTCAAAATAACAATAGAATCTATCATCCTTCTAAAGAAAACACGAGAAGAAAACCATCAAAAATACACTCAAAACTGACATTTAATCATCGCACATTTTCCATAAGAAACTGAGATCAAAACTTGTTGATAGCAGCCAGGTTTAACGCTCCATGGTCATTAATAGTCAGTTCACAAGTCTCCACCAGGTTCCAAGTTCAATATAACTTCATCGGGAGCAGGTAGAGAGCTTAAGGGCCAGAAACTCTTCTTTTTCTGCTTCACCATGCAAACTCTTCTAGCTGCCTATCTCTTTAGCCCTCTTTCTTTTTCTAATCTTCTTCTTTGTAGCACCAGAATCCACACCATCCTGCAATGGAATATACTGTATCAGATACCTAGAGGTGGACATGCAATAAAGTGCAGATCGGCCACATCAACTGCCAAGAAAGAAACAGCAAAGAAAAGGAAACAAGGAAATTGCAGTCAAGATGGCATTTCTCAGATAAATTGATTTCTTCTATTTTTCATGCCTATCCATATTGTTGCTCATATGAACATCCAAGTATATAAGAGCATAAAAAATCATTGACCGAAACCAAAGAGAGAATCATGGCCCTTTTGGTACATGTCTACACAAAATCCATGAATTGTCCATGGCAATATGCACATCTCCTTGCTCTTCATAACCAAATTAAAAACCACAGATGTTAATGGCAAGGTAAAAGAAACAAGAAGATAATATCATCGAGCCACTTATATAAGGAAGAAAACATAAAGCACATAAATGTAGTCAAGAAAAAGAAATACAACTAGAAAATTATGATGCTCACAACCCCTTTATCTTGTATTACTTCAGCCCTACCCACATGAAACTTTCATGTGGGTCTGCTTGATGGATAAGATTAACTACCTGTGGTTTTCATGGAAGCATATAATGCATGCAATAATAATGCTACATAGCTCAGCAATAGCTACATTTCTATGTAATTCAACAAGTCTTAGCCAAATTCAACTCCCAAAATAATTCAAGGAGCCAGCTAATAAAACCATCAGAATCATCATAAGTTAAAAGGCTTAAAGAATGGAACCACCATACATGATCTAATAGACAACCTTCAGAATGCAACTAGGACTTGAAGGTTAGATACCAGAAGCTGACCATATATTCTTATCTGTAAATAGACTGATTAGATCAAAAAGGATAATAATCACTCGGTCTTTTCCTATTAAACAAGATTACAATATGTACAAAAATTGTAAATCACAAGCTAGAAATGAGTATACAATGCAACAACATATAAGCTTTAGCTTTGTATTTGTTCTTATCTTTGTGGTATATAATCATAAAAGGAAAAACAGAAAAGAAAAAGAATATCTTCAAAGTGATCTTGAATATGCAATTGTCTATAATACTATAAGTTACTCTCTTGCATTCAACCCCCCATCCAAAAAGCAGAAGAAAAAAAGACAGACAAAGAAACTTACTCAGGTGAAGAGCTGCATACAGAAGACAAAAGTGAAAAGCACTCATGAATAGCATCACCTATATTACCAAATTCACCTGATTCTGGGGAGCTGAAGTATCATCTTTCTTTTTCTTCTTACATGAGAGTGGATTTGGTCCCTGTACGAGATCAATCAGCAGAGGTGATTGATTAGAAGTGAAATTTGCCAGAATTGAATACATTGGTATTTCAAGAAAATACCTTACATAGTTGACTAATGTAATTTTTTCATAGCCATATTGTTTTGCACTGAACACAAGCATCCTTAGAATCCAAGAATTTGATAAGCAAGGATCTCGTGCTATTGCTAATGCCAAAATGACTCAACATGAAGTCACATTTTAAGCATGAGTTAGATTCCAAACATGATTGACAGGATATTTAAAAACTATACACTACCTTATGATAAGATTCTTGTTCCAACATTATCTATAAGAAACTTTATGTAGAGTCTAAAAGTTTGGTACACAATTGTAATTTGATGTATCATTAGTTAAGCACCTAATGTTCTCTTCTCAACTTATAGCAATAATATATGTATAGCATTTAATACTTGCAGCAAAAAGGTATCCCGGGTTGGAAAATATAGACATAAGATTAGGGCCAAAGGGGCTCCTTGTAAAAGTAGATGCTTCAGGAGCAAGGCTATGCTAATTTTCCCTTTATCAAACATGAAGAGAATAGTTAAGGATCAAGGCAATACTAGAGACGATTTTACATGTTATGCAGACATTTGCAGTAGAAGAGTTGTGAGTTATGGTTAAACAACTTAATATGGCAATATTGGGTTGGACAACTTAATGTAAGCATTGAAATTTGATTATATTGTATGAGGTCTTCAATAAAAAACAAGTGCCCAATTATAAACATGACCAAATAAACTGCTGCATAGGATATATAAACACGATAAACAACTTCATGTGCAATAAATGGACATTAAATCAGGAGATGGTTTGGAAAAACCATTCTATTGATGCATAGAACAATAAAAATAAACATGATGAACGGGTTCATTCACTATGTGCTAAGTATTCGAGAAAGAGAGAACCCGCATCACTGGTTACTGATGTCAGAACACTGAACTGAAGATCAGAAAATTGTACCTTTGCCCTCTTTCTCTTAAATTTACTTTTCTCTGCAACACCTAGCATTCTTTTTGTAGTGCTAATATTTCTTGTAAGCTGTGTGCCCTCTGTTACTCGGTTAGTAGAATCATTTGTTATTACGCCCTTCAAATCACTCTTATACAGCTTCAGATATTCTGATTCACCCATATGCAAGTGCTTTTCCTCGGTGGACTTGGCATATTGTCGCTGCTGTGCAGAGGGTTGTTCGATAAACAAGGAATTTCTAAGACCATATATCACAGGAACACCAGGAACCTGTATTCCAGCAAAAGATTGAGTTATTGCAATAAAGAAATCTAAAAAGTAATTAGACATCCTAATCGAGCAACCAGCAAGAAAAATCTGAAAAGAAACAATAATTCGAACGAAAACATTAAACAATAAAAAAAAAGAAATTAAATATGAATGCATACAGAAACTATAAACCATAAAATTGAATTGTATTATCTTAGATATGTGCACAATTGTTTTTGAGTCTGTAGTTGCATCTTTTTACATATTGAAGTCCATTCAAACAGAACACCACAATATAATTCAGGTTTGCTTGAGCTATCAATTTAAGTAAATTTATTTTCTCTACACAAATTCCAAAGAGCTTATATCAATGAATGTTCAGCTAAGCAGCGTTGTCATGTCAGGCCATCAATCCGTAAATAATATCCACCTTATTGCAATAATGGAGTATTCTACACCAATGTAGAAAAAGGAAATTGATGACAATTTCCAACAGGTAATTCAGCAGCCTGAAAAGCAATGGTCAATCATGAATATAAGAGACCAAAGAATAAACAAAACCCACCTCCCGAAACTTTTTACGCATATCTGCATCTTGAGTGGCGACAAAGAAATGCTCAGAGTTCGTCTCTCCGATTACCGACTCAACACACGCCGTAGCACCGACCCTCTTCTCATGGTCGCACCTAAAACGCCCCCAAAGTAGCAATCTTTATGTCAGTAATGAGATTCCGAAAGCAAAAGGATCGTATCTTTAGCAAGATAGCAAGTCGATGAGATCAAAGGACAGAAACCTCGCCGTGAAGAGCTGCTGGGCGGCCTCAAGGGCCTCGGAATGGGACTCCCCAAGGCTTCTGAGCTCTCCAATTATGCATCTGCGTAGAAACAAAAGAAGCGCACAGAGTTAACACTCTGTCGACAAAGAGGACGAAAAGAAGAAATACGGGAAGAGGGAGGGACCTGGTGGTGAAGAGGAGGGCGCGAGCGCCGAGTAGGTGGGAGATGACGTCGTCGGCCGGGGTAAGGCGGTGGTGGAGGAGGTGGTGGATGAAGGTGCCATCGCAGAGGACCTTGTAGGGCTCCCGGAACCCGAAGCACGCCGAGTAGAACCGCACCACCTTGCGGTGGCGCTTCTGCTTCTTCACCCTCATCGCCGCCGCTCTCGATCCGAACCCTCACCCTTAATCCCCACCGGGGATTCACCCAAACAGAAACGGCTTTTGGCCTCCGAGGCGTCAGCAGAAGCGTAAAAAGCCGCTCAAAATCCGAGGCCGCATCCGACCGTGTGAAAACCTAGAAGAAGATAGTCGTATAACGGAGGAGCTAACGGATCCGGGTATAATACAGTTGGATCTTGGATCCGGACCCGTTTCAACTGCCTCCCTCGATTTACCCAGAACGCCATTTGCCCTGCCGAATCACCCGTAAAAGTTTATGGCTGATGTGGTATATATATATATATATATATATATATATATATATATATATATATATATATATATATATATATATGGCAATATCCCTTCGTAATTTAATTGCTTGAAACATCCAAATTAAAATTAGGTTGATAGAAAACAGATGAAAGGTGATTGTCATCTGTTCATCATACTTGAGAGCAAGCAGAGGAATACTGCAGTAAGCAAATTACAGAAACATGTTGCAGAGGCTAATGTCATGTTCTTAGCTAAATCTCATCCACCTGGTTTCTGTTTCTTATTGATTTAGATAATGACCAAATATGTTGCTTGATGAACAGATAAAATAATAATTCGGACATTAAATAGTTGTCACTTAATTACAGTTTTCGATTTTACCACTATTAACATTTAACATCTTGTTGTTATCTCAATCCCCAAACTAATTTAAGCATCAAGGGAGTGTTAGGTTGGCAATCCATAGATTCGTCTATAGTAAGCTTGAACATTCCACAACCCATCTCCTTACTTAATATATGGTGATTATATTTTAAGATATAAATAGGACGGTAATATGGTAGAAAAAGATAGCAACATGATGATTCTTGCAGCAGCAAAAAGAGGAGAAAAAGATAGAAAAATAAGAAAAAGAAAGGAAAGAAAACAAGGATAACGAAGAGAGATCGTTCTCAATCATTTGACAGTGTTCTCGTCTCAGGTTAGATCAAATATACAGTAGATTTTTACTGTGATTACTTGGAGAGAATTATGGAAGATTTAGATATTAAGCACAGTAATGTGATCCTTGTATCCCAGTTATTCTCTTATGATTATTGCTAGGGTTTTAGGCAAGATATTGAGATTTGTATATTCATTATTCTTACAGTGGATTATCTCTAGTTTGCCCTGTGGTTTTTACCCTTCACATTGAAGAGGTTTTCCACGTATATCTTGGTGTTTTATTTGATTGTGGTTCCATTAATTCCGCTGTGTGTTATAGCGTGCTAGTATTTGTTCATATACAAAAGTTATTTCTCTTTATATCCTATCAACTGGTATCAGAGCAGGGTTGTAGTAATTTTATTTTATATTTGAATATGGAGGCCAGTAATGTTTCTCGCATGATTAGTTTAAATAGAAAAAATTAGATGATATGAAAACGATCTCTTGTATTGCAAAGATTTGTATGAACCTTTGTAGGGGATAGTGTAAAACCCACAACTATGACAAATGATGAATGAATGATGTTAGATTGAAAAACAGTTGGGTTTATTCAATAGTGGCTTGATGATAGTGTCTTTAACTATGTTTCTACTGAAAGTTCTGCATATTAACTTTAGAAAAAATTGGAAGGTCTCTATGAAAGAAAAACAGTTGGTAACAAAGCTTTTTTAATCAGAAAACTTATGAACATAAAATATAGAGATGATGTTTCTATTGCTGAGCATTTAAATGAAATGTATAGTATTACTAACCAGTTATCCTCTATGAAAATGCCTTTTGATGATGAGTTACAGGTATTGTTACTTTTCAGTTCATTGCTAGAAAGTTTAGAAACACCGACGGTTTCCCTTAGTAATTCTGCGCCAGATAGTATTGTCACCATGAGTCAAGTAACAAGCAGTTTGTTGAATGAGGAGTTGAGAAGAAAGAATTCAGCAATATCTCAAAATGATTCAGAGGCACTTATCTCAAAGAACAGAGGAAGGTCAAAGTCTATAAGTAGTTCACATATGTGTAGGAGCAAGTCAAGATTAAGTAAAGATATTGTTTGCTATAACTGTGATGAGAAAGGACATTACAAGAACCAATATAAGCAACCTAAGAAGAGCAAGAAAAAGGAAAAAGAAGTGGAGTCTATAGAGTCAAAAGATAATATCACAGCTATAGGATGGTGATTATTTGATTTTGTCTCATTCTAATGATATTTTTTCTTGTGTATATTAGGATCTTGAGTGGATGATTGGCATAGGTTCTTCTTATTATACTACACCACGAATGATGTTTTTTATCATATACAGGTATGAAAATTTTGATGTTGTCAAGATGGGTAATTATGACATAGCAGATATCATTGACATGGGAGATATACATTTAAAGACCAATCTTGGCTGCAAGTTTATGTTTAAGAATGTGAGGCATGTGGTTGACTTGAGGCTGAATTTAATTTTAGTTGGAAGACTAGATGATGAACACTATGATAACATATTTCATAGAGGGCAATGGAAGCTCATTAAGGATTCTCTTATTATGGCTAGTGGAAAGAAATGCTATATTTTGTACAAGTTGCAGGCCAAAACTTGTGGTGAGCAATTAAATGCTACAGAGAAAGACTTCAGTATGGAGTTATGGCATAGGCGATTGTGACACATGAGCGAGAAGGGGCTGCAAGCTCTTTCCCAGAAAGAGGTATTGCTAGACTTAGAGGTACATATCTAAACACTTGTATTGATTATTTGGTTGGTAAACAACATAGAGTTTCATTTGTTAGTCCTGCTTTGTCTAGAAAAATGCATGTCTTAGATCGTGTTTATACAGATGTATGTGATCTTTTAAGGACAAAAAATCATGTTGGATCTATTGATATTCTTGGTATAAGTGGTGCACTTTATTTTGTCACTTTTATAGATGATTTTTTCAGAAAAGTTTTGGCATGCTTTGAAGACCAAAGATCAAGTGATTAATGTCTTCAAAGAGTTTCGTGTCATAGTTGAAAGGGAGATAGAAAGACAATTGAAATGCATAAGATTAGATAATAATGGTAAGTATACAAGATTATTTAATGATTATTATATGTCATATGAGATCTAACATAAGATGACAGTTCTTGGTACACCTCAGCATAATGCAATTTCAGAGAGGATGAACCGTACCATCATGGAAAAGATCAGATGTATACTTTCATAGGCCAAGCTACCTAAAAAGTTTTGGGGTGAGGCTTTGAGGACTATAGTTGATGTGATCAATTTATCACCATGTATAACCCTAGATGGTGATGTTGCAGAGCATGTATGGTCAGGGAAAGATGTTTCCTACAGGGATTTGAGAGTGTTTGGTTGTTGTGCATTTGCACATGCTCCAGACAATGAGAGATCCAAGCTGGATGGTAAGACTAAATAATATATTTTTCTTGGTTACTCATATGATCGGTTTGGTTATAGGCTTTGGGATCCAGAAAAGCAGAATGTGTTCAGAAGCAAAGATGTAGTGTTCTTTGATGATCAAACCTTTAAAGATTTAAAGAAGAAGACACCGACCAAGACTTATGTAGAAGGATTAGCAGATTGTGGCACAATTACTCCTACAGTATATCAAGGTGATGGGGGAAATGTGTAGGAAGATGATGTAGAGCCTGATGTTGATCTACCTATAGGACAAGTTGAGCAAAAAGAAGTTTGAGAGCAACTTCCCACAGAACCTAAGTTGATAAGATCTTCTAGACAACATCAACCTTCCAAAATATACTCTACAAATGAGTATGTAATGCTGACTGATGCAGGTGAATCAAAGAGTTACTAGAAGCAGTTGAAAATGAGCAGAAAGAGAATTGGTTAATTACTATACAAGAAGAGATAGATGCTCCTTAAAAGAACCACACTTATGATTTGGTACTACTACTAAATGGAATAAAGACTTTACCAAAAGAAAGACATGCCGACAACTAATCGGCATGATTTCACATTGAGGAGTCATGGGACAACCTCCCTTATGGGCTGAAGGGGAAGATTGTTGGGTTGGCAGCCCACAGATTCAGTCCATAGTGGGCTTGAAAAGCCCACTCCTTACTTAACCTAACCCTAATTCATATTAGAGGGGTGTGGTGGCTGTATTTTAGAGACGACAGCAACGTGGTGATTCTTGCAACAGCAAAAAGGAGGAGAAAAAGATAGAAAAGAAAGAGAAAGAAAGGGAAGAAATCAAGGATAATGCAGAGAGATTGTTCTCAATCACCCAGTAGTGTTCTTATCTCAGGTTAGATCAAAATATACAGTAAATTCTTACTGTGATTACTTGGGGACAATTAGAGAGGATTTAGATATTAAGCACAGTGACGTGATCCTTGTATCCAAGTTATTCTCTTATGATTTTTGCTAGGGTTTTGGGCAAAAGATTGAGATTTATATATTCATTATTCTTATAGTGGATTATCTCTAGTTTGCTCCATAATTTTTAACCTTCGTATTAAAAGGGTTTTCCACGTATATCTTGATGTTCTATTTGATTTGATATTTTTGTTCTTCATATTTATTGTTATGACTTGCTAGTATTTATTTATATACAAAAGTTATTTCCTTTTATATCTCATGAGGGGTTGTATCGTATATATGTGGAATTCGATTGAATTTGATCATTCCTAATGTCCATAACAGATAAATATTAAATAAATTTAATATTTTAATTTATTAATACTCTTTTATATACAATTGGATAATGTGTCCTATTTTTTTCCGATACTTCCATCAATTTTTCATTTTGTATTATATTTGGATGTTTTAATTAGATACTATATAAGCTTAATAGAAAAGTGGATATTTGACTTATACGCGGTTGTCTCTCCTTCAAGACACGACAGCCGGTTAGTGTTCAATAATCATGCCACGTGCCCTTGATCCAACGGCACAAAGCACGAGTTAATACGTGGCATGCATCCAAAGGTCAAAATATCAAAGGCTTGTTGATAAAATGTCTAATTCTTTTCACACCCCACAACGACCGCCCATAAAAGAACCCCAAGCGATCTGGCCCCACCAATGTCACACCGTACTGTTTCCCTCCGACGTAGGGTACGTCGTGTTGGGTTCCGTTTGAAGTTGACATAGGGACACAACACACGCATTCACCGCCCAGCCGTCTCGGCCGGTTCCCAAGTATTGACACCAATTTCCGCCGATCCTAACAACCGTGTCGTTGAGCTCGCACATCGAGTGTTCGACAAAATGACTCATTAGTGCCGCTTCGCCCCCCCGGTTTCCCTCTGTCATTATTATGCCCGTCCAATCCCGTTCCACGGTAGGGGAATGAGAAGGGGATATAGAGAGAGAGAAAGAGAGCCGGTTCGGACTCGATTTCGCCTTCCTTCTTCTCTGATCCCTTCCTCCGATCTGTGAGAGCCCCCTGGCTTAGGGTTCGGTGGGCTTCCCGTTGGTGCGCAGCGATGCTCCTCTCCTTCTTGCTCGGCTTTTTGGTGGGGTTCGCGGCCCTCGTGGCCGTCGAGGGCTTGGCCCTCCTGTGGCTAATCGATCGCCTCCGCCGGAAGCGACCCACGGTGAACGCGGCCCGGCCACAACCGGTCGCCCAAGATCTCGGCGACGAGCGGTCGCTCACTGTTCCCCTCGAGAAGAAGGTCGGTGCTTTTGATGGATTTGCTTTCTGTCTTGGTTTTTTTCTCTCTTAATATCTAATTGAACTGATCTTGGTGGCTTTCCTCGCGTTATGAAACTTGTTTTGTTGAGTTGAAGGATTCCATTTGAATTTGATGTTGAGATTTGCTCTTTCGATGGCTGATAAGAGTGTAAAATTAGGGGAAATTGTTTGTAAGATGACGAGGACAAGAGAAAACCAAATATGATTTTGTTGGCTCCTTCGTTGCGTTTGATCGTGATACCTATTGATTACTATGTATTGGTAAGAACTAGTAGTATCTAGTAGTTAGAAGTAGTCTCATGTCTTCATGGGTAGGCCCAAAACAATCAAGCATTTGTAGGACTTGAAGGCTGGCATGAAGCATCACGAACAGTCACCTGTTTTGGTTATTATCATCAGTGAGTCTTGATTGAAGCAAGAAATTTTATGTGATTAGTGCATCATCGGTTTACTTGACTTGCATATCAGCACAGAATATGTCTCATGACTCAGGAGTTCATGACACTTCAGTCAAAACTTAATATTTATAACTTGGAATGGAAATGTATGAACAGATTCACTAAAATCAGGTTCATGTTAATTGTTTCATTGAACTCATGATGAAATTAGGGTGGTTTTGGAGCAAAGTTTTGTAATTGTTATGTTCGGTACTCTATGTTATCATCTGGATTTATTTTTTAAACTTGCCTATTAAAATAAAATGTTGGAAACGGAATAATATTTGGTAGCAATAGATCACTTCTAGTTCACAATATTGCATGCACTGCTCTTTGCTGCTGATCATAATTTTCTGAAAATTGAAATATTGTTTGGCAAGGTTCGTCATACCGCCCGGTACCGGTCCCCTATTGGACTGGTGCATACCGCCCGGTGCATACCGCCTGTACCGGGTGGTATGCTGCGGTACAGCCAACCTTGCCAAACAATATTTCTCTAATGTGGTTCCTTAGTCCTATGAGCTTGTTGAACTTTTATGGCAGATTGCTGCCATAAAATCTTTAGTGACTCACTGTATTATTGGCACTTTACATGCTTCTAAACTGCAAGCAGAACTTGTGAAACTATTGCTTCTCCTAACATGGTTTCATGTGTCAGTAGTGATCAAAGAGCCATGAGTTGCTAAAACTCTGTTACGTACTTACATTTTATATCTGTTTGTGCCTATGTATGCTTACACACTGCAATTTCTGTGATGTTTTAGTGAGTTGACATCTTTGCCATATCGTCTTTTGGACCAGGGCTCAATTTGGGTACTAGAACCAGAAAAAGTTCCAAAAATCAAGACTGATGAATCACCAACAAGAAGGACCAAAGAGCAAGAAAACAAGAGCATTATGGAGGTTATTCCTGTCAGAAAATATGCTAAAATTAAAGATCACTCGTTAATCTTGTCTGACCCTGATGATTCTAATATAACTATACAACTTGTCGGCTGTATGGTGGTAGCTGTTTCTGCATCAAATTTATCTTCACGAAAGTGGTGAGCTATGTAAAAGGAACTACCCTTTGCATTTCTCATGTTTTTATAACCACAATATGGGGCCAGTTACATGTAATTGTCATCATATTTAATTATTTCTTGTCATATTATGCAATGCATAACCACAAAGGGTATATATGCATGTCTTACTATTTACTACAATTCTTGGAATGTGAATTCTGCCATATAAGCCTACTCTCATGTACTTGGTGACTTTGTGTAACTCAAGGATTTTTTTTTAAAGAATTTGTGTGTTTGCAGTCTGATTGGAAGAATTAAATTCTTTACTAGCTAAACTTTGGCATTGAAGTGTACAATGTAATCTAGTATAGGTAGGTACTTGGCATCAAAGTAAATCTCGAAGATATTGTATATATATTTTAAACAGCATATCTTTAGTTTCACTTGAGGCTTCAAGTTTCATTCTCAGTTTTGGTTTTTCTCAGGTCTTAAGAGTTCTTGTTTTGGCCATTCGGGGCGCGACTGTTTCAGATTATTTTCATCAGTTTTATCCCTGAAAAAGTATTGTATCAAAATCAATGACAGGAAAAGGAAATAGATGCATATTTTCTGACAGGAAACATTAAGTTATGATATTGTTTTCTTCTACCATCATAATTTTCAGTAGATTCTATTTGTTAAACCTTTTACTATTTTAATGTGTTAGAAGTTGACATATTGGAGAGAATCACTTTAACAATACTGTCTACAATAGCTTTTATACCTCACAAACATATAAGACATAAAAGGTGGAACATTTTTAAAAAACCTTAATAGAATTTTTAGAAAAAAAGAACAGCTGAACTAAGGTTTGAGGTTGCCTATATCTACTGATCAGACTTCCATATCTCGTCTTTAGACTTTTGAGTTTACAATTTGTATCTTGTGCCTGGATGTGAAATCACCTCCATAAGAATTGATGCTTTTTAATTTAAAACTGACAAACAAAATTTTGTATAACCGGTTAACTGAGAATTCAATGGTGGAAGATCAGTTTTGTTTTGACTGAAATCCTGAAGATGAGTGAACTTTGGTCAGTCTTGGTCGCCCAAATAGATTGCTTTCTACCAGAATGTTTGACCTGGTAACCATGGATGGGTTATTCACAACCGGAATCATTAAAATAGGAGATGATCTATCTTGCTTTTTTATTTTCAGGTTTTATAATTGATTTTTTGGAGTCATTGGGGTCAACAAGTATGGTTAATATTGTTAGAGTAAGTTGCCACGTCTGAGAAATATTTATTTTTCAGGATCTAATATTTCTTATGTGCCTTATAGGGCTAAAAGGTATCCCATTAAACTGGAAAGCAAGGAATCCAAGATTTATAAGGAGAGTAAAACATGTTACTTATACTTTGACACTTCTTGGGAGAAGGAATCCTGGTGCAAAGCACTCCGTCTTGCTTCCTGCCCTGATAAGGGAAAATGGAATTGGTTCTCCCAGTTGAGCGAAGACTTCCAAGACTATCTGTCATCCTTAAATACTGAATATCCTTCTTTTCTGAAGCCATCAACAGTTTTTACTGAGACTACAGACAGAACAAGTAGGATTGATGGAGCTTCAAGAGTTCGCCTTTTTTTGAAAAGACTTGCAAAGAAGGCTTCAAAGAGTGGTCTAGAAAGTAGACAAGCCTCATTTTCATCATCTGGCTATGGTGAAAGGAAGATTGGTGAGAAGTTGCGTTCATCAAATTCTGTATCTTCAAGTGATGGATTCATAAAAAGTTCATCCGAAGATAAATCCTCAAGTAATTCCATGCAAGATATGGCACAGCCTGTGCCACCAACTTCTACTCATTTTGGTAACAAAAGTATGCTTTCTGCCATTCCTGATGCAGCTGCTGATGAAAAGTTTGTCAGTGATGAGGGTACACTATGTTGGAATCTGTTGTTTTCAAGGCTATTTTTTGATGCGAAGAAAAGTAGTGAGATCAATAATCTCATAAAAGCACGCATCCAGGTTAGTTTCATGTTGTATTATCCTGATCAATTGTCTTCTTGTTTTTTTTTTTTTTGCTATTACACATAATTCTGATCTTTCCTATTACTTCAATAGAGGACATTGTCAAATATGAGGACAACAAGTTATATTGGTGAAATCACATGTACTGGCTTAGATCTTGGTAACCTTCCACCTTATGTTCATAGAATGAGAGTTTTCCCTATGGACTTGAATGAAGTGTGGTCTATGGAAGTTGATATTGAATACTCTGGTGGTATAATATTGGACATAGAGACAAGACTTGAAGTTCGTGAACCTGAATTGCAAAAGGACATATTAAAAACAAGTTTGGAATCAAATTCTGCCGGTGAGGTGAATTCTGATTTTCTTGAGGGCATTGAGCATTATGGAAACCAGTTGAAATCTTCAAGCAATTCAACTGTTGGAATGGATAACAGAAATGAAGCGGATAAAGCAGGTGAGAGACATATTTTACAGGTTGGATGTCTTTCTATTCTGTTGGAATTTTGCAGTATATTGAACTTTCGTAATCTGTTCTCTCATGAAAAAAAAGAAAAATCAAATTGCAGCTCACTCCCAAATGGCAACAAAGTAATGTTTTTGGCTTTATGTATAAAGATCAGAAGTCATCTCTACTTTATCATGATCTGTCATGCTCTTTTTTGTCAGTCTTCCAAAGAAATTAAGTGGATAGTGGTTGACATGTTCTAAAAGATTTAAGACGAAATCGATGCGTGGACAGAATTTTCCATACTCTGACCAACCACAAATATCATTTTTTAATATTTCCTGCATTTTTGGGAATACATGAAAATGTCTTTTAAAATCATTTATTTCATGGTACTTTGTCCGTTTTATTTTTATTTGATGAATAATTAGTAACAAATATGGGCCACATTGGTTCACATTACACTTCTGCAACATCTGGCACAATTCATAACATTATGATGCTACAGCAGGGTATCTTAGATGAATAATTAGTAACAAATAACTTCTGATGTCTTCTCACATTATGATGGAATTTGAAAGAGCCCCTGTAAACACGAAAGATAAATTTTCAGATTTTGACTTGTCTCTTGAAGAAAAAGGTGAAAAAAGAAAGCCCACAATAAATTATGATCAGAAAAAAAATGGAAAGATATTCATCCAACAATCAATTCTTTCTTACTTGAAGCTGAATTATGGGAACCCCACCATAAGTCAGCCACTTAAAGATGATGACTCAGTTAGTGAAATTCAAGTAGGAATAGTTGGTCGACCCTTCTATTTGGCCTGACTGAACCGTTGCAAAGCCTATCAGTACGAACCAGTTAGGATACAAAACCTAATGCAGGAGTCCAGTACATTATCTCAATTATTAAGGATTAATAACTTAACCATTTTTATCATTTTCTTTTAAGATAGCAATTTTTAGTCAGCACAAACTTCTCACCTAGGTTGTAGATGCTAAAAGACTTAAGTGACTATGCTATATATGTAGCTATTCGGAAATGAGAGCTTATGACCATATTCAGAGGGCATGTAATTTCATGGATGGTACGTGAAAGAACTCTTAATTTTTTGAATGTTATAAAGAATTAAAGATGGTTCTTGAACTTGTAAGTTGATGCTCTGGCCATTATATTTTGGCAGAATTGTGTTTGTACCGTTAGTATATGACGTGGCCATTATGTTGTAACAAAGGGCAATTATGTCTGTGATCAACTATAAGAGATTTTTTCCTTGCCTTTAAGACCATCGTATGGTTCTTCAAAAGTCTGGTCCTTATGTTGTCTTATGATATAATTTGCATATTGTGTTTGACAGGCAATGCCAAATAAAATTACCGGAACTCGTAGTAATTTGTTTGTATGATAGATTCTATTCTCATATCATCTTTTTAGCAATTTTTTTTTTAAAAAATCAGTTGTACACTCTCTCACTTTTTGGCAACTCTTTTTGCATCTATCATCATATAAATGTCTTCACATGAATATATGTGCACTAGAGTAGGACATGGAGATGCTAAGAAAATCGTTGTTGTAACTTTTTTTATAAGTGAATTCTTTTTGCATCTATCATCATATAAATGTCTTCACGTGAACATATGTGCACTAGAGTAGGACATGGAGATGCTAAGAAAATCGTTGTTGTAACTTTTTCTATCGCTAAATTTGGCAAGTTTTGTTATTCAGATGGTCTTAGAAACTCAAAGAGCACCAGCTGGACTTCAGGTTATGTGTCTAGATGGAAGGCTATCCTACATTCTCTCGCTGATCAAGTTTCACAGGTTTGTCTGTTTCAACTTTCAAGAATTTTAGAAAGCTAATATTTCCTAAAAGATGTATTTGAAGACATATATGATAAAGTTGTTCATTGATCTTTCGATGTTGTTTTTTCAACATTATTATCCTCCTTTCATACATGTGGTAACACTACATTCTTTGAAAGGAATCATTTCTAGATGAAGAAATGCAGAACTACAGTTGGATCATGTAGGGCCACTTCATTCCTTTTTTTGACACTCCATATTGATTTTATCAGATCTTTGTTTTTTGCTTCTAGGTTTATGGTCAAGCGGTTGTTGATTGAGGTAAATTTCTATAATAAAGAAGAGAAGAAAGTGAAATATTTGAGCTATAGTGAAATGAGTAATACAATATAATTGAAGGGTCTATTTTATCCAAGCAGGCATTAGCCCAGTATGTGTGTGTGGGCATATATATATATATATATATATATATATATATATATATATATATATATATATTTGTGTATATATATATATTTGTGTATATATATATATTTGTGTATATATATATATTTGTGTATATATATATATATTTGTATATTTACATCTATTTACATCTATTTTTTAAGAGTTTCCGAGGTTATACTTAAAATTGAGTAGGTCTGTGTTGTACAATAGTTTAGCCAGGATACACGCCGGCAAGGCAAGAAAAAAATTCTTAAGAACAATGGTCCTTTTCAGTGTCTTAGCATTAAAGCGCATACACTAATTATTTTGATGTAGATATTATAGGTTAGCTGTTGGAAACCATCATAAAATTCATCAGATAAGTGCAGCACATTAGGCCTTCATTCTTCTCTGAAGTAGCACAAGCTTGCTTATGATGTTGAGTGATTGCAGTAGCTGCCTATGCAAACATTTTTTCATCGCTATTTGAATAGAAGAGGACCATGTTCTTTCTTGGGTTTGCATCCTTTATAGCCTTCTTCCATTCTATTAATTTGTGTAATGCTGCTGTTTCATTTGTCATCTAAACTTCACTTGAACTTATCTTGTAGGTTCGTACCTACTGAAACCTGACTACTATTTCTGTTATCATTCTTCTTGCCCAATTATTTATGTTCCACATGTCCTCAAGCACCTATCTGGCTAGTTCTTCATAGCTGACTCATGGGAAACCATTATATGTTCATATACGGTTGATTGCTGTTATGTTTTGGATTTCGCAATGGCTCTTTTACTAATTGCATGTTCACTGCCATTTTTGTACAAGCTCATTCTTTCACTGTCTTGAGTTCTAAAGGGGTAATAGCATGGTGGGAAGGTGTAGCCTTAATGTTGGTGTTGCCATTGATATTTTCCTTTTGCTGTTTCTTCAATCTATCCATGTTTGGATTCATTGCATCATTAGAAGTCGATTGCTGCCGATCATAATGGAAATACAGCATGCATAGACAATGATGTCTTGAATGTTCTTTAGTGGTATGAACATTCAGTTAATCTTTTATATTCCTCGTTAGTTTGGTTCAAATAATATGAACATTATGGTACTGTCAAAATATGTTTTTTCATTTGGACTGATAAGTGAACGTGCTGATGATTGAGAGATAAACTTGTTCCAAGGCTGTTTGTAATGTCATTAAGTGGGAAAAAGTGAAGTTGACTTTAATGAACTTGGGGGAAAGAGTAAAGGTTTACCACTATAATTAAATCAAGATAAGGATTACCTGACACAGACATAGGCACACTGCACATGCAAGTCAGAGACACTGTTCTTGGTGCAACCAATGTACGATTCAATTTCATGCTGTTAAGCTTTATCAGTCCCAAAATAGAAAAATATGCCAACATCGTACTTTAAAAATCCAATAAGAATGAGTGGTTCAAAGCATGAGGCTTGTATGCAGAATCTAGAGATGGTCAATGGTCTTATCCCTATAAGGAAATGTTATTTTTTTCACTCTGGTCATCCAAATCTCAAAGGATCAACTTTGTTGTGGTGCAAGTCTTGCCATCCCTATTATTATACAATATGAGTAAAAATTCTGTGCTATATGACATGAATTTAAATGATAAAAATGATAATATAAATAGCAGGATATTTGGACTATACTGTTTGACTTCATGCTGCTTTCCTGGATTTATGAATTTATTTCACTATGTTTTTTTAATATAATTTAGTACTTTTATGCTTGATATGCAAGTAATTGTAAATAGTAGCTCTCCGATGTCAAAATTATTTGCTGTTTGGTACAACTGTATGTATTTTGTGAAAGATTTGCCTCATTAACCTGCTGTCTTAATGACTGTACTAGTGAACACTAGTTCTAGTTTGAACATTTGAGATTTGATCTACATAATCATGAAGTGATCCTATAAGAATGATCATTATTTTTTCAAAGGTACCACTTTCTTTGGCAATACGAGTTGCTTCGCTTCGTGGGACATTGCGCTTACATATTAAGCCACCGCCTTCTGATCAATTGTGGTTTGGCTTCACAACAATGCCGGAATTAGATTGGAATTTGGACTCATCAGTTGGGGATCGAAAAATAACCAGCAGCCATATTGCTTTGCTTTTTGGCAATCGGGTTAAGGTGCTATTTCAGTTCCATAATCATATTTTTGTTTCTTTATAGCACGTTTGCTGAATCTTGTGGTAGAATCAGTAAAACTGCTTCGGAAGTTGGTGCGAGTTTTTGTGCAGCGGATCTGGTAGTGGATAGACTTAATACGTAACACACTTTGAAAAACTTGTGTAGCATTGAAAGCAATGTTGCCTTTACTTGTGCAGGCTGCAATTCGGGATAGTTTGGTGCTTCCTAACTATGAAAGCATATGCATCCCGTGGATGTTAGCAGAAAAGGATGATTGGATCCCAAGGAAACTTGCACCATTCATATGGATCAACAATGATAGTATGGACATGGCAGGCACTGAGCTCACGGTGCCCCAAGATAGGGAAGATAAATCGAAGCTTGATGGTAGCAACAAAACTAAAGACGGTCTTGACGACAAGGTTGAAAAAGTAAAGAATGTAATACATGTTGAACAGCCAGCACAGGAGCCCCCCACAGAATCTTCCGTTTCCGGTGGTTGTCTAACTGGATCTGTGTTTTCCGATCACTCTTACAGCAGCACGAATGCTGAACTGCAGGTACCACTATTGAGTGGTGAAACCGAAAAGGACTCCAGCCAGAGCAACGCGGAGACCCCCACGGCTTCTTCATCAAGGGCAGTCGTGATGGTCGATGATCAAGCAGCATTGTCTCTCGATGAAGATGAGAAGCCAAAGAGAACCAGTAGGCGTGCAAAAATGATGGATTTCGGCAAGAGGATGGGGGACAAGCTAGAAGAGAAGAGACGTCACATCGAGGAAAAGAGCCGGCATATTGTTGAAAAAATGCGCGAAAACTCAAGAACATGATGTGTTCCAATTCAGGCTGTGATTTGCGAAAGTAGATACCAGCCACGTTATGCCCCTATTAAGAGAAGTTTGTACAACCGGAGTTGGCAATATATGTGTACAGGTGTATAAATATTATCCTGTCTTTTCCCCATGTTTTTATGACTTAAAGCTTTTTATGCATCTCTTCTTTCTTACCCGTCTTTGTTCTGATGCATTGGATTACAGAGTAAGCAGGAAAGTGTGAATCAGTATCAGATTATATCTGTATTATTAGCCTCACATCGGAAGTGAATTTGATTGATGGATAAGTTGGCTCATCGGATCCGAATCATGGTAAATCTCTACAGACACAACTGCAGTCAAACAATTAGAAAAGGGGAGACTGCCATCTCCATCAGGTATGAGGTCGTCATTTACTCAAAGACTCAAAAAGTATACGGTTGGCGTGCCGACCGTCTGTCATTAGCAACTAAGTTGAAATCCGTAGTGACGCACACTTGAAGGAATACACCTTTATGATTCTGTCGTTGTCGAGGAGCCTTTGCAGCGAAGGAAAGCGGAGCAGCTCATGATTCCCCCCTCCACAAAGGCCTTTGTCGGCTGTACCACCAAAGCGGAAATGGTGGGTGGGGTGGGTCACCGTGGATCGCCATCGGTGTCACTTTCTTTGCGATCTACATGATGACAATTCAAATTACCATCGGCCGATCGATGAGACTGATCGATAAATCTCATCTCCATCCTGTTAGGGATGGGCCTATTGTCTCGCTGCAGACTTCCATTTCTCGAGGAGACATGTATAGTGGAAGTTGCAGTAGATTCCACATCCGGTCTTTGGCAGACATGTCCCAACAGCACACTCGGTCTTCATGGCTATCCTTTCTCTTCTTCTTCTTCTTCATCAGAGAAAAAAGTACAGCTTTCCGTGAATCTACGAGTACAGCAACACCGAGAGCACAAACTCACTCTTTCGTGACATGTTCAGTGCAAAAAGCTTGGAACTAAAATGAACTCATAGCTTCGACATCCCTGGATTCACTTTTATCGACAAGCACACACCATTCCATACGCATAACAAGCTCATCAACACAGCCAGTGAAACAAAGTGGTGTCACACAGTGACATGATTACACATGACAGAGCAAGAAACAAGTAGAAACTCGGCCCTCCCCTACCCACCACGTCCAGCATTCAAAAAGAGCCTGTGATGTTGAAACAGCAAAAGAACATTGATGAGCAACAAGATCAATCTACTACAGGTGAGCAAAAGATCGCATCTTGGAGAGAGAAATCGATTCAAGTTTTGATTTTTTTGCGTTACTTCGCGTACGAAGAAGAAGAAGAAGAAGAAGGAGAGACAGAGAGAAGTCAACTCTGTGATGAGAGCAGAGAAGGGACCGTGTTGAGCTCAGATTCAAGAACACAGGGAAGGGACAAGAAGTACACGAGTCAGACATCAAGATTGTGGTGGGGATTACCTCAAAGATGGGTTCTGGCACCGGAGCCTCGGGAGGACTTCTCCATGATCGCCTTCCAGGTGGCCTCCATCGAGTCGTTGTCAGCCGGGCTCTCTTCTTCCGCCGCCGACGGCTCCCTCTCTGTTATCGCCACGGCCTCCAGCGGCTTCGTCTCCCGAGAGGACTTCTCCATGATCGCCTTCCACGTTGCCTCCATCGAGTCGTTCTCTCCCGCAGCTGTCGCCGATGGTTCTCCACCATTCGTCTCCACGGCCTCCATCGGCCGCGCGTCTCGGCCTTGGGAGGGCTTCTCCATGATCGCTTCCCACGTGGTTTCCGTCGAGTCGTTCTCAACCGCGCTGTCCGCCGCTGCCGCTGCCGCAGCCAGCTCCGCCTCCTCTAATAGGTCGCCGCTTTCTGCCGATGGTTCGGTACTCGTCTCGGTCTCGAAGGCAGAGGAATCCGCGGGCTTCTCCTCCAGCTCCCTCGTGCACGCGTCGGACGGCTCCCGCGGGAGAGAGACAGTAGGAGGAAGCTCGAAAGCTCGGGTCTTCACAGGATCCAAGGTTTCCTGCTTCCTTTCCTCGACCGCGCACGGATCCCGGTGCGGCTGCTTTTGGTCTGACAGCTTCCATATAGCAAGGACGATGAACTGAATGAAGACGAAGAGGTACGGCGGTACGAGCCAAGAGCAGAGGGAAGCCCAGAAGCGGGGGAGAGCGGAGGCGAGCACTCCGGTGGCCGTGGGGACGGCGACCCGCGCCGCGACGCCGAAGGCAAGGATTCCGAGAAGGAAAAAGCCGATCTTGGAGACCCAGATCGTCTTCTCGAGTCCGTTCTTCGGAGGCCGTCTTCTCAGATCCGCCATCGCTAGGAGTGCAGAAGAGGAAGAAAAATCTAAACTTGAACCGCACAAGGCCTCGAGGACTCCAATAAGCCCTAGAAATTTACTCGAAACCGTAGAACTCAGATCGAAGAAGCCACAGTCGACCACCTCGAAGGAGGCTCGGAGGAGCGAGAAGGTTCGAATTCGGCGAGCGGTGATGCGCTCCGAGCTTCTTTTAAGAGCATCGATTACGGCGAGGGAAGCCGGTGAGATCTGTCCGTTGGATGATATTTTGACGGCTGTGATGTGATGATTCAGGTGGAATTATTATTATATTTCGGAAGCAAAAAATGAAGGGTAATAAAGAAGGAAATCTTGTAGATGTAAGCAGAGCGCAACATCTGGACCATAAGATTCGTGCCGTTTCACATGAGACCACCACTAAAATAAAAAGAAATCCAAGTCTTGTCTTATTGTTATTCGCATTATTAATCGATTAATAAAAGTTAAATTTTATGTAAGATTAGATGTATTTTTATTTTAATTATCGAATCTCCAACTGGATCGAATCTTTAAAATCAACTCATCTTTCCTTTGAGTCAAACCATAACATTAGAATCAATTAATGATATAGTTTAATATGTCTTCACCCCACCCTCTTTCATTAAAAAAATGATACCATAATAGTTCTTATCCACTGATTAGTTTATCTATATTAAATCATATAATATCGGAGCAAAAAAATATAATTAGTGTCAATTAACTTACGTGATAAAAATTATGATAATTTATTGTAAGATTCAGAGTTTGTATTTCGTCTTCATCGTCATTTGTTCTTTAAATAATCTTTTTAGAAAATCAAATATAAGAAGATGCATTCAAATTTTGTTCATAACATAAATCATACATCTCGTGATGCCTCGAAAGAAGATTCATTATCTTACTCTTATTCGAATTAAGCATGCAATGGTAATTTTTGCTAGATGCATTCAAATCTTGTTCATAACATAAATCATACATCTCGTGATGCCTCGGAGGAAGAAGATTCCCTGCGTTCCAATGCGGAAAGAACGCATCTATCATCATAAAACAAATAAAAGTACACATCCAATGAGACTCGCCAACCTTAAGACGACACCGAATCATCACATAAAGCCGGCACTTTGGAAATAGGAGGCACACATTTCTTGCTCTCGATGCCAAAGTGAGCATTAGTGTTCACTAAAGCTAATAAGAAAGCATTGGATCCGTATCACACAAGCACCCGATTTGGCCGGTTGCTAAAGTTCAGGGAGCATTCTTTCTCTCTCTCTCTCTCTTTTAATTTTTATTGTTTTACTATAGTCAAATGGGACGAGACTTTTGTTCTCCGATACTCAAGTCAGGATATACTTTCTAGAAGAATAATAAAGAAAAAGATGATTCTATATTACGTTGTTATTCGTATCTTTTTATAGTGTCGAGAGGATAATGGTATATCATATCGTATTGATATAGCGAAGTTGTGACGATGTTGAAATGAGTTTTAGTCTTCTTATTTTTGGTATTATTTAGTAGATTGATATAGTTTATTTACAACAACAATATTATATGTTGAGACTCCTATTAAGTCTAATCAGTCTTTTTGTTTGTTTCAGAGATGCAAACAATTCTCGGAGGAGAGTTAACATCATCGCATATTAGCATCTAAGTGACATGAAATCTTTGTCCATATCAATAGATTAAATCATTGTTTTTAATATATTTAATCACTTAGAAAAAAATATAGTGATCGATGTATAGATAACTACAAGCAAAACACTCCATATTAGGAGAAAGATCGATATCTAAGTAGTAGAGGAGACAAAAGGTAGCATCGAACATGCTTTGTGATCCATTCATCATCTCTCTTTTGTGGGTGCTGTCATTATCCGAAAGGTGTCACTCCAAAAAGATCATGATGGATGTTTTCTCCCTCGTCGGTGGTCACATTCGTGAGTACTGTTCAGCCCCAATATGATCCGAGTCGGACTTGCGTGAATAGAATTCAATGTTTTTTTTTTTTTTTTTTGGAATGTAGAGTGTTTCTGAGTAATATCAAGCTATTCAATGTGTCTACGTAAGATCGATGTCGGAAAAAAATTTTAATATAAATTTTTTGAAACCTAAGTTAATGATTTCGAGATTGATAGATAGAAAAGGATGAATAGAAAGAGTCTGATCTTGTAAATTAAATGTGTGATTTTTTTTTATAGTTTACAAGAACTATCACCGTTACAATCCATAAACGCACAAAGTTAACGATACAGACTTTGTGAAATTATCATTATTGATGCTAATGGACATTATAGTCGATTCGAACCGAATTGTTAAGAGCTAAAATGAACTGAATTGATTTTCGATTCGATTTGATTCGATTAAAATAAGTTCGAGTCAATTAACCGATTAACTAATTTATAATTTTAAATAATTAAAAATATATTTTAAATAAATTGATTAAATCGAATCATAATTCAATTAGATCAACACGACAAGGTTTGTGTAATTGAGAAATGATATTGGAATCGGATCGACACCGCTACTACATGATCATTAATTCATGGAATCTAATTATTTAATTTTTTTTATAAAATTGATCCCATTTAATCTGAATTATTTACCGAAAAGAAGAAATCTCAAACTGTTTATAATTTTTAAAATCAAATTATTGATAATCAATTGGAGTTGAACCAATTCAGTTTTAATTTGAACACCCATGATCATTTAGAAACAAAAAAAAAAGAGAATATTGACTTTGGTAGAAAATTTCATTGTCATAAGTCCAAAAATCTTAAGTTATTATAAAATAATTTAATATATTTATGAGTCTTAATATATCATCTCACCAATAAAGCAGTTTAGACTTGTAAATGGACAAAACACAGAATATATGATGCAAATGAGTACTGTGTAGATATTTGAACTTATGATGTATTCTGATACTACAATAAATATTTCAATTATTTATCATAAATCTAAAAAACATAAGCTATAAAAGAACACTAATATACTTACTTATAAGCTATAAGAGATTTTTTGTTGTACCCAATTAAGGATGCACTAATTTCTAAGAAGCAATAAGTGATATAATATATTCAAATTAGAAATTTCTGAAACAAATTTTTTTGTAAGAATTATTTTACTCTTCCATCGTTTCAGCTCCGTCTCGCCCAACCTAGATCGTTAACCATCACCTCTACTATCGCTCTCGTCGAAACCTAATGACTTATGATAATGATGCTCGCTCGGAGTTGATAGGGGGCGAACCCGTGCACGGTGAAAGGGGACGACCAACCCTCGCATGGGGGTTGCAAGTGGAGGGAGACGAACTCATGCAAGATGAAAGGGGTCGACTAACCCTCGTATGAGAGGTGCAAGTGAAGGGGGATGAGTAGCCTTCACATGAGACCTATAGGTGGAGAGGGATAGTCCCACACGATAAAAAGGAAATTACAAATAATAACAAACTCTAGTGCGAGGGCTTCAAGTGACGATAGAATGATGGAGACAATAATAGGTCTTAGGAGATAAAATGATCTTTTCACATAATCACAGGTCTATTTAGAAAAATTTCAAACTAAGATTGCTTTGTCAATTTTTTTGCAAAGTAAAAGGTTTTTTTTATGATATCCTCTATATGTACATATATATATATATATATATATATATATATATATATATATATATATATATATATAATAATAATAATAATAATAATAATGATAATAATATTTTTGAAAAAGACTCATACTTTTTGAAATTTCTGAAACAATACTTTTTCTAAGGGTTATTTTACTTATTTATCGGCTTTGCTCCGTCTCTACGCAGCCCAACTCCTTAATCACCACCTCCACTATCGCTCTAATCGAAACCCAATAATTTATGATGATGATGCTTACTCGAAGTTGATGGAGGGACGAACCTATGCACGGTGAAGGAGGGCAACCAACCCTCGCATAAGGGCCATCGATGGAGGAGGGCGACCAATCATCACATGAGGACTACTATGGAGAGGGATGACCAACCCTCGCATGAGGGGTGCAACTGGAGGGGATGAACGAGGACGGTAAGTGGAGAGGAGCGATCCCACGTGATAAAGAGGGTATTATGGACAATGAAAAATTTTAGTACAAGAATTAAAGACGATGATAGGACGATGAAAACAATAACGAGTTTGATGAAAGGGGGAGACAAAACAATATTTTCACATAAAAATGGATATGTTTAGACAATTTTTTTTTCATGATTTCGCTTATATATATATATATACTGATCTTGAAACCTAAATAACTTGATACATCCACCGGTCCGTTCTTTTCTTCTCCTCGCTGCTTCCTATTTTCTTCCTACGCCTACGCCATCGCCATCGCCATCTTCGACCTCCATAACCCAAGCTATCTCCGGTATCCTTGGCCCCGATCTCTTCGTCACCGCTCCTCCACCGCCTGTTCCCTTCAGCCCGATGCTCTTCCTGCAAGATTACATGCGGCAATTGCTCTCTGGCGGGGCCGTTTCTAGCTGGTAGTATATCTTCCCAATTTTGTCTCTCTTTATTTTTCCCTCTAGCTATTAATTTTTGGTTCCGTTGCAGTTGATTGTATTGGATGATGATGATGATGATGTAGTATATTGGTGAACATATTTGCAATGTGATTGTTGGTAACCTGCTATCGATGCCTGAATTTAGCTATAGCTCATTGCTTGTTTATAAGTCGCAACTTAATTATTCTTTTGCATATGTATTCATTTTTCTCATTCCATTTATGGGGTCGAATGGAGAGTAGTTGGTTAGGTTGCATTTTGATGCAGGAAGCAACATTGCATAATGTTTATCTTGCTGCATTATGTACCTGGTGCATTTTGGTTGCTGGTGATATGACACTGCATTAACTATTTGGAGTTTCTAATAATTCTGACAATTTAAATTTATCATGCCTAGTCTTAAATTTCTTAATTGTATCTGTTTTATATGTGATTTTCATGGTTTAACCTCAATTTCACTCTTTTGGTCAAACCTCTGAATCTTGAACCTTTCCCTTTTCCTGCCTAATATCTGGTGTTATTGCCAGAACATTAGGACAATATATAAACAACAAAAGACAACCAAAGGTAACATCCTAGGATATAATCTTACCTTTGAATTTGATGGACCGAATTGAATTCTCAAAAAAGAAAGTAATGTTGATGCTTATTCCTTTCCCTGTTCTAATGCTTATGGAACTTTAATAGAAAAAAAGAATTGACCATTAGCCAACCAAAGTGAAGTCACAGCCCCTTTAATTGTTGGCAAGTGCAAAGAGAGGCACTCTTGCCTCAGAGGTTGTCCTCTAAGCAAACACGAACACAAACTCAATGCTTTCATGTATTGCTCAACTTGTTGTTAAAAATGTTTCTGGTCCCCTAAGAATAGCACTCTTGCCTCTGAGGTTGTCCTAAGCAAACACAGACACAAACTCAATGCTTTCATGTATTGCTCGACTTGTTGTGAAAATATGTTTCTGGTCTCCTAAGAATGAAAAATGAGATGCCTTTAGGCTTTAGCCACTGTATTGCATTCATAACATTGAGATCTTTCTTCCTATTTTATTCAGAAACATTGTAGGTGCTTTGTGAACAACAAAGTATGACCATTGACATCACAAAAATCTATGTCAATCCACACAATTTCTACAGCATGTTCAAAGGGTAAGACAATAGTATGTCATATCTTTTACTTCAAAATTCATGATATGAAAAATACAGAAATTTTGTAGATTTTGGTGTAATTTGTGCAAGATGTTTCTATTATCAATCATGAAGGGTCTAAAGATATTGGTAGTCTGAAGCTCAGGATATAAATGCAATGCAGTGTGAAATACAGTACTAGAGTGTTTGGGTGAATTTTGAGCTATGTTCGATAGGTGGGTCAGATGAACAAGTACTTGTATCATTTAGGTTTCAAAGTCAAAAGAGAGTGGCATGAAGGATCTAGAATTTCATCCATGTCTAATAGTGGCATATTTATTTACATTTGCTCAGGAAAATGTAAACAAGTCACAACCTTGCTAGAAGCAGACAAGTAGGAATGGTTTTGGTTTGTGGGTGATTGATAAGAATCAGAAAATTGAAAGTGGGTATTTCAAAACATGTTTGTTTTACTGAGATTTTGTGTGCCCAAAGGAGCATGCGACAGACAAACAGATAATCTTATTCTTTACTTGGGCAATGGGTGGATACATTCTTGTGGGATCTCTTGAAAGTTCATGGTTTTCAGATATGATGTTACAATCAATCAAAAAATGTCAACAACAGCACAATAAAACTCTGGAGGCATAAGAAATATATTGGCAGCCAAAGACAGAATAGTAGGAGAATGAAGTCACTTTCCTACATCATCCAAAATATATAGTGTCAACTTCCCATAATTTTCACTTGATTTCTTTTATTTTCTCTTTCACTTTTCCTCTGCCGATGCAGGTGTTGCTCCATCTACCCATCCATTAAAACAAAAAACAAAAAAAGAGTTGGTTTCTCTTATTTTGCTTCTAGGACCCATTGTAAGTGATGTAGCATTCTCTAGTTTTGGCATGAGTTGCAGTTTTTAATGAGTGATGGTTAATTCTATATTTGATTCTCAAACTATCACTGAATTCCAAGTTGGTCGACGAAACTTCAACTTGCAGCAACTATTAGCTCTTCATTTTCCCTTTTTGCTCCTCATCTTCTCTCTCTGTCTCTCTCTCTTCTATTTGTTTATTTTCTTTACAATTCGGCTTTTCTGACCTTTTGATAACACATTCCTGTGCTTTGGGTTTTGACTCTGTGACAACATTGATGATCATTTCTTTCTATCTTGTGATTTCACATTGAAGTGTCACACCCGGCTCCTGTTTTGCCCTTGGTTGCAAAACTTGTAGCCTACTTTTAGCTCTTTCCTAATTATTGGATACATGCAAGTATTCGTCTACGATTAAGCAAGAAATATTTGATCCGAGAAATTACCGTTTTCTATATTGTTCAAATAGAAACAACTTTCATTTATCTTTAAAAAGATTATGATTTGTACATTCATTATTTTTATAGTAATTTTTTTCTGATTTATTCTGTAATTTTTATTTTTCATATTAAAAGAATTTTTTTTACGTAAATTTTAATATTTTATTTTATTATGATTTGTCTTTATTTGTATATAAGTTCTATTTTTATCCCATCATTAGTATTTTATTTGGTAGATTGCTGGTCTTCCGTCGCTATAAGCATTTATTATGAGGAAATGAAATTTCCGTCACCACTAGAGGATAAGACTGACACGTGTTTTACATTTTTCTTATAGCGACATGGATGAGAGACTTCACTCGTCTGTCAGAGCGGTGCTTGTCGTGTTCCCAGCCGAGCCCCACGTCTCGACGCCGGCGGCGAGGACTCCTGCTTTCGGCGTGTTCCACAACGATGGGCCGTAGACGACGAGCTGACCGCGGGGACCGAGCGCGAGGACGTATTCCCCGGAGTCGGACGCCACCCCGCTGGTCCACAGAGTCTCCCCGCCCATGTACTTGATCTTGAGCTCCCCGTTGGGCTCCAACGTCACGAAACAGTCGTGCAGCCCGTTGCTTGTCCCCGTCTGCCACAGCACTCCGTCGTCCCCGGTGTTGCGCAGCGCCAGGTTGCAGTTGTCCTGCAGCGCCAGCTCGTAGACGCCGTTGACGATGGTGACTCCGATCGGAGCCACGTCGTTGGTGTAGAGCACGGCGTCGGTCGTGGCCGGCCAAGTGGATCCCGGAGCGCCCGCTCCACCGGTTAACCTCGGCACCGACCACCGCGCCGGTCCGTACACGTGGAGGCTCCCGTCGTACCGGAGGACGAGGGCGTAGCTCCCGGGGGACGACTTGGCGTTGCTCCTCCAGAGTTCGGACGGTCCGACGCGCGTATACCTGTTGTAGCCGAAGATGATGAGCTCACCGTCGGACTGCAGCTGGAGGTAGCAGTTTATGCCCTTGTGCCAGGTGCCGCTGGCCCAGGTGGGGTTGCCATTGTCGTACGCCACGAGGTTGCAGTCCTCTTGCATGACCAACGAGTACTGCTTGTACCGAAGGTGCTGGCCGTGCATCAGACTCTCGCTAGAGTAGAGCACGTTGCTTTCCGTGCTCGCGCTCGGCACGACGAGCCGGGCGAGCACGGCGCCGAGGACCCAAAGCACCACGGAAGTCTGCGTTGCCATTGCTTCACGCACTGCACTCCCTCTTCCCAGTGAGCTATGCTCCATATATAAACGCCGAGGGAAGGGAAGACGGTGCGGGATGGCTTCGCATTCATGCCTCGAGCTAGTTGACGTGATTCACGTGATCGTGTGGGGGTGACTCGGGAAACCAATCACGTGTTGCAGCATCCAACGTTGCGCGTGTCAGACGTTGACAAGCACGTAAATTAAGAGACCGTTGGTTTATGATACTCGGACGGATGCTTCGCACCAACTTTGTACCTCATCAGTCTTCTTGCAATTATTCATCGAACACACTTTGCATGCATCCGCTTGTTTATTAATGGAGATCTAAAACGTGCAGCGTGGTGTAATGAAATGAAATCCCACATGGGGACGATGTCAGAGAGAACCCATCGGTGGGTTAATTTGAGCCAAGTTTAAGCCATAATTAAACCGATACTGGCCACTGACATCTCGTGTTCAACGAGGTACGTAAAATACACACTTATTGGAGGAAGAGAAGCTAAGACTGAGTGGCGGAGGCCATCGTTAGGTGGAGCGATGCTGTGTTAGGTATGAATAACTTAACCCGATTCGATTTCTAACTTATCGGATGCTACCAAACATTGGGAATTGGATCTTCGGCTAATATTAAATGCTTCAACCCAACCCAACCCAACCCACGAAGAAGCTCACGATGGGATGATGATGTGGCAAATGGCCCGTAATGAAATCGAGAGACCAAATAAACCGCTTCATCGGCCGGTTTGATTTAGGTTCGATTAGATCCCGGTTCGGTTTTTAAGATTTCTCACCCACTACTGCTTGCAAGTTTTTTCCACATATAATCCTCAATTTGTGCTGATTGATCCATTTGGATCAGTTATCAAAATCCATGTTGACGTTTATGTAGAAATTCTAATATTGCGAGTTAAAAAATGAGTATTTTATTAGAAAAAATTTCATTATTTGACTTTTTATTGGATGATGCCTTCATATTTGTTTTTTTATATTTAGATAAAAATGATGTCAATCTTTTACTAAAATAACTTGATCACATGTGCTATTAAAAAATAATAATAATTAATTAGGACATGGTTCTAAGATTATTAGTATTATTTTTTTAAAAATTATGATAATTAATTATTAAGAGAGAGAACTTCTTACAAGTGCTGATGTTCATGATCAAATCATTTTAGTAAAAGATTTAAGGGTATTTTTATCTAAATAACATGAGCACTTATATATATAAATGAATATGCAGGGTGTCATATGGTAAAAGTGAATTGTGAGATTTTTCTCAATGAATTATCCGAAAATAATTATTCATACCACTGGAAGAATAATTATGATCTTCTTTACCAATTTACTGTTGAATTGGAAATATTGCATTATTTATGATCTTCTACCTTCTTTTCCTCTAAAGTTGTCTAGCTATTATGGTGCCCATACAAACATTGTGACATTCTATGGCGAAATCATGTGATCTTATTTGGAGTTTTTTCTACTTTGGACTTCATCTTGTTCTATGTGTTTTTTTTTCTTATATCCATATTAAAACCATACATGAAAATTTGTAGGTATAATAATAATATAAAAAATATTTGACCAACACATGTTTTCAAATTCATTCAGTAGTATATTTCTGACCCACAAAATAATAGCATTATTTTTTTTTCTTTCCATTTTACAACACAATAGCTTTTCTCTTCCTAATTTTAATTAAATATATTTCTTAATATTTTACATTTAAGATATTGGTTATCAATTACTTGACTAGTTTAGCTGATAAAGACCTTGAATCTTATTTTTATTATTTATTTTTTAAAAATATTATGATTAAAAGATTGATAATCTCATCTAATAAAATTTAAAATATCATATAATTTATATTATAAAAAAGTTTATTGTAAGATTCCCTGGAAATCTTCATGTGAGATGCAGCATGGGACCCACTAGCTCCAAATGGTTTATTCCAACTTTGCTCTGTTGCATACTACAGACACACTCCATGGAACCCCTCCATCTGCTCTCAGGCAGCTACCACCATCTGATGCCTCTAAGATCACACCATCAACTGCATCGAGTCACAGCAGAGAGATCACAAAGGAAGAAGGGAGACGAACCACAGCGGAGAAGCGCAACCAGCAACCGCACAAAGACGAATGGCGCCACCCACGGATGCATTCTACGGGCACTTGAGCTTGCCGCGAGGGTTGGTCATGGTGGCGTAGCAGGGGCACATGGCGCGTGTCTCCGCCGACGTGCCCGGCGGCACGCAGTTGCACTTGCTGCAGCAAACCCCGCACAACTTGTTGCACATCTTCCGCTTCCACGACTTGCTGCAGCGCACCGAGCACTTCGCCCCGCAGTCTGCACCACCAAAACCCATGTGTGTCATCAGTTTGACGATCGCTCGCCATTTAGTGGAAGCCATGAGCGAAGCCCGAAGAGGTCACCGATGGTGACGGCCGGCGCCGCCTGGAGAAGCCATCTTCCGTTGGCCACAACCGAATGGTGATGATGGTCGTAGACGGAGCGCGAATCGACGAGGCAGACCCCGAACAGGAAGAGTAGAAGGCCGGCGACGACGGGCGTGGAGGGAGCCATGGAAGGGGAGATCGAGATCGATCGATCGATGCGAAGAGTGGTGGCTGCTCTGAGAATTTATAGAGGACGACGAAGCAGGAAGCAGGTACCAGGAAGGAGCTCTTCCGTGTGAGATGGTGAGGTGGAGGTATCACAGCTCAGGCCATAGCTGTACTAGTTAAAGCTGATCATCCATACCTCAAAGGCTGGCTCTGTCTGCAGATCCAATGACCATCACGTGAAGAGGATCGAGTTCCCTGAGAGGTGAGCAGTAAGGTTATCTTCCCGAGATTCCTTGTGCTCTGCCGACGAGGAAGCTTCGTGGTTGGGACTCCTGTCAAGTTACCGGCACATGCAAATCCTGTGCCAAGATCACGGGCGTGGCAACATCGATATAACTCATGTCACCGAAACATGCAAATGGGCTTAATAGGTGGGCCGTTCGGGCTCGAACTCGTGTTCGTGGGCCTTTATATGGGCATTGACCACATTAATATAGATAGCGAAGTTGACTAAGCGAATCGGCGGGACATTCGATATCCGAATTGGTTGACGTATTGATAGGTCTCAGATCTGATAGCCGATTTGAGATCTATCTTAGCCGATTAAAATAGATAGAGAAGATATGCAGAATCATTGACCATGTCCGATCAATTTTCTATGAATAAAAGGTGCTGCTAAATCCAACGTGTTACTTACTTTACGATGGTCAATGTGGAAATCGTGCATTAGATCAAGGAAAGCACTTGAGATGGAAAACATCAGTCGAGCTCAAGAACAATGGAGGATCGAAAACAGCAGATTCTGTGAAGTAAACACTGCACATGTTACCACTGACCTGTCTTTCTCCTCATGTAGAGAATGGAAGTCTCTAAAAGATCTGCCATGTTTTCCCACGCATTTCTTGAACTTTGCGCTGATTCACCTCCTCCGTATTTGTAGATATATATATATATATCTCTCTCTCTTTCTCTCTTTTGAGGAGTAACGAGAAAGCAGTGGAAGCAAAGATAGCTCACAGTTCAAGAAAGCCGTGGAAGAGCATGATCATGATCTTGGTAGCATATCCTTCCTCGCAGCCCTTCCTGTGCCATTCCTTTGTTTGAATGGTAAAAGGAGGATATGTCTTGCAAAAGATTTCAGTAATCATGCTATTGCTAAAACAAAAGGAGGAGAAGCGAAGAAGATGGAACCATTTCGATAGTCAAAATCGAACAGAGACTGAAGAGAAGACGAAGAGAACCATAGTGATACATGAAGCAGAAGAAAGAAGAGAGAGAGAGAGAGAGAGAGAGGTGGGAAACGTACAGGCGGGGCGTCCTCAAGAGAGAAGCCGCACGTGCGAGCTTTGACAGGCACCAGGCGATGCGTGTCCTTCCTGGATCGCTCGCGCGAGGACGATGTACGGGTCCAGTAGAGCCGGCGGTCCTTGACCTCATCCGTTCATCGACGATCGGACGGCTAACACTCCGTTTCCGGGTTTTCGTCGCTCTTCCCGATGATCTGCGCGTCGGTCCGCTCGTCTCGGTCCGTACACGTGTGCGATCTGGGGTTACAGGCACCGCACGGGCCGACACCCGTACCTGCGCCACCAGCCCTACGAGTAGGTGAAAGAGGGGCCCGGGGCAGTCCTTTCATGCGTCTGCACCAATGAGCGAACGCGGCGTGGCGGTGGGCCCGGCTCACCCACGTAGAACATGCAGGAGGCGGTTTTCTCGTGGGGCCCGGTTGACCCTTTGTCTGGCCCACTTTGAGTCAACACTGGTACGATGTAGATGGGTGATTGGTGCCAATTTCCCAAACGCTTACATGTCCAGTCATAAAATAATGTCGTGATCAAAAGGACTTGATGATAACACCACCACAAGATTAATATTAATGTTCTAGGTAAGACTCTGTTTGACCAACCCATTCATGAGAAATGAATGCATGAATGAAACAAGGAATGTAGACAACCATTTCTTTGATGTCGGATCTAAGAAGGATTTGGATATTGATCACAGAAGAACTCTCTTCATCATCATCATCTAATCCTTCAAATAAAGCATTCATCTCCGGATTAATTCTTCTTCGCTTTCTGTGCTACAGATTCAATCAGCAGCGTCAAGTTATCGTAGGAAGAACCACACTTGGCCACAGCTTTTCTTGCTTCCTCCGCGAGTTCTTTGGCTTTCCTCCTCCTCTCTTCTCCCTCCTCCCCTCCCCCCATCAACCTCTCGATAGCCTCCGCCACTTCGTCCCTCGTGACCGACGCCCCGTCCTCCGGCGCCTGCTTCAGCTCCACGGAAGTGTCCACGCCGACCGCGACTCCGATCCCGAGCACGTCCACGATCAGCTTCTGGTTGATGAACTGGTCGGCGAACAGCGGCCAGCTCGCCACCGGCACGCCCGCGCTTGCGCTCTCCAGCGTCGAGTTCCACCCGCTGTGCGTCATGAATCCTCCCACCGCCGGGTGCGACAGGATCATCACCTGCGGCGCCCAGCCACGGATCAAGAGACACCTTGAGTCGACCTCCTTGATCTCAAGCTTCTCTTGCAGCCACTGCTCCACTTCCTCTGACAGCGATTCCGCGCCATTGATGACCCAGATGAAGGGTCGTCTTGAAGCGAGCAGCCCATGGCCGAGTTCCATCAGTTGAGCGGGCGCAAATCTGGCCAGGCTGCCGAAACTGACGTACACCACAGACCGTGGCTTCATCGAATCCAGCCACTGCATGCATCGGCTTGCTTCCACGGACGGCTTCTGGCCCCTCGCGGCCATGTCGGAGCTCCCCCTGCAGAACAGCGACACCGGGCCGATGGGGCGGACCTCCTTTCCGGAGGCCACCGCTAAGCGTGCAGCGTATCCCGGCTCCAACTCGTCGAAGCTGTTGACGATGATGCCGTCCATCGCCAGTTCACCCTCTCTGCCCTCCTCGCACATCTCCATGAACCGAGGCAGCAACTGGAATTGGATTGGGAGCCGCTGCCTCGTGATCTCGAACGGAAACGGCAAGTCCGGGATCGCGAAGGGCTCGGTCGGCGACGACACGCTCTCGTGAGGCTTGTAACAGTAGAGGTTGTGCATGCAAAAGAGCGCAAAGGCGCCGAAGCCATGGAAGATGAAGCATGGAACGCCGAGCTCCCGAGCGACCGCCGGAGTCCAGGAGTAGAACATGCCGGACACGATGCAGCTCGGGGCAACCGTCAGATCACGGAGCAGAACCTCCAGGGGGTGCCGCAGTAGCTTGGAAGCGTAGTAGAGGTTGGGCACCATGTCAAAGGAGGGGAGGCTGTCGAAGCTCTCGCAGCCCTCCGGTAATCCTGCCTCAGCAGAGGGGAAGGGAAGGGTGACGAAGCGGATCGCGAGGCCGGAGTCGGCGATGTGGGAGATGGTTGGACTCAGCCGGGCGGCGTTGGCCGGCGTCATGACGACGGTGACGGCCACACCACGCTCGGCCAGCATGCGGCCGATGTCGATCATGGGTATCGTGTGGCTCGTCCCGAGCCATGGGAGCAGGACGAAGTGGAGCTGTCGGTGACCGGAGCCGCTGTCCTCCATGGCCGCTTGAAGGTGAATTGGTGACTAGGAGTGAGTATTGGTTAAGAACACGGTCACAGAGCTACTCCTATAAGGACATTAGATGACGAGTGCCATTACGCCATCTACTACTTGTTGACAAAGAGAATTCAATTACAGGCATGGAGTCGATGGAGATGCAATAAGAAGACAAGCGAGCCAGAAAAAGAAGACGACATGGATGCCAAAAGAAGATTTAGAGAAATCATGGTAATGGTAATGGTAATGGACTGCGTGCAGAGAAAGCGACGCTCCATGACTTTAATATGTGGCGGATAGCATGAAGATGAAGATCAATCCCAAATAAAAGTCATCCAATATTCCATGACTAACAGCAATTAGTGGAACAACAAAGAGAGATAAGATCTGTGTGTTCCTCCAACGCTGGCCAAACAAGTCAACATTTTGATGAAAGAACAACAAACCATAGAGTGATCATCAGGGAAAACACACAAGTAGTGAACTAAGATCTCTGTGTTCCTCCAAAGCTTTTCAAACAAGTCAACATTTTTCATGCAAGAACAACACAACTAGTGCAACAAATAACAACAACGCTTTAAAGTATTTAAGAACTCTGAACTGAGTTTTAAGCTGAGTGAAACATACCTAGACAAGTTTACATTTTTGCTCAAGAACAACAAACTCTTGAAGTATCAGATCTGTTTTTGGTCTTCTCAGAATTCCTCCGAAGAACATACGGTGGTAGGGTTCTGCAACTGACTGTCGCTGTAATGGTTCATGTCCTCTAACAATCACAAAGGCACAGGCCATGGAAGCATTCATGAAGGGAAACAGCCTTCTTTCCCATGCTTGATACAAGCCTGAAAGGCAATATAATCCTAACCTTTGTGCCACAGTTGGTGTGTTATTTTAGTTCCACATAAAAGCACAATAGATGCACGATGCAGTTATTATTCAAAATAAATGACACATTCAGATGCGTCAGAGAAACAATCGTAAATTGTTTATATATGTGAAGTTCAATGACCTATAATTTGCTATGTGAAGGTAGAGTGCAAAGAAAATCTAGTTTATAAAATATTCATGTACACAAAGTCGACGAGAAATTTACACTCACAAAATCAAGTACCCACTGGTAATGTAGTCGGTGGACATGTAAAAAAGAAATGTACATAAAGAGAATTTTTTTCCTCGTGTGTTTTAACAGAAAGTCCTTGTCTCTTGTCTCTGACAAATATCTGCGGGCTGGTAAACCCACCTAGCAGCATCTGAAACTGTTGAATTCAAGAATCTGACATTGGAGGCTCACACTTGTTCTCCTGTTTTTCGTTTCGTGGAGTGAGGAAAAATAACATACCAAGGCGATCAGATGATAGTCGAGATTCTGATCAGAATAATCGGTTACTTCCTGATGTTTGTATTGCCTAACACTTGTTTTGTACCCTGAGCATAACATCATGAATAATAATAATGTCATGACCAAGTAGTGCCATGAATAATATTGATAATTTTGTGCTCATTTCATGTTGTGATTGTTAACAGTTGCAACTTATGGCTATCATTCAGCCAAAAAGGCTAAAAAGATGCGTATGATATGTCAAATGCTGCACAAACTTCGTCTACAGCTATTAAATCTCCTCATCATAACTGACAGCGCATGCATGTTTATAGTGACAATGGGCTAGAAAGATGGATATGATATGCAGTATGATGACGTAATTTGTTATGCTGCATGAATTTCATCCATAGCTGTTGATTCTCCTCATTACTGACTATGCATGCATGAAGCTTAGAATGGGACCATAATCCTCAGCAACACATCCAGTACCTATTGGTATTCACTTGTTTATTTATGGTTTAAGTGATGCCAGGCAGTATAGGTCGGAATACTACCCGTTATACTAGTACTCTATTGGTCCGACTAAAATTGTCAAAATTAATAGCAGACCAAGACTATAAACACTGGTTTTCTATTTACAGATAAATATTGATAAACGAGAAATCAAAACATTGTGGCTCCTGCCAATGCATGGCTGGGGAGGTCAGGGGAGCTCAAATATAAGCAAACTCACCCCTACATGCAGAAAGGTAACTGTATAGACATTAAACTGGCATGTTATAGCTCTATGATCATTCCACTGATACAACTTCTAGACACATGCTGTTTGGTTGCATATTAAAAAATCAAACCGCTCCTATTTTCTTCATGGGTAAGATAGTGAATAAACGAAATACTCTATAGAATCTAGCATCTGTAGGTCTCTTAACTACACGGTATAACAAGCATATTCTGACAGAATGAGTTGCAAAAAACCATTAGTCTTAATATTTCGCATTATTAGTCATGTTGTGTTCCAGTTGGATACAGTTCAAAAATATCAAGTTCAAGCTAAAACTTAAAGAAAAAACAAACAAGCACAAGCAAAATTCCAGAATGTATAATAAGTAGATTTCAGTATAACATAGGTAATTATGTTTATGCTAAATGGATCTAGCAACCCACGCCGATTAACTACCATTTAGTTATATTCTCAAAAAATAGATAGAAACTATGCAACTATTTGAGTTGGAAAATATTGAAGATAAAAATGGGTGACCAAACTGCATATGACAAATTACATACCTCTATAGAAGCTTGGAGCTCGATATATCTTGTGACTTTCCAGCATTTCCAGTACCCAAAAGTACTCTGTAAACTGAGTATGGGCAACCAAAGAAACGTAAAAGATTCTGCCAGCCTTTTTCTCCATGTGCAACATTATGTGAAGCTATTTGGTTGATATATGTGTTACCTTCATAAATCCAATAGAGTTGCTGCCACAATAACACAACTATACCAATTTCCACACTCAGACTTGCAAATGACAGATATATAAGAATTAGACCTCTTGCAGACAAAAGAAGTGCTGAGCTAGCCAAGGCAGCAACTATCTCCTTCACTATACTTGCAGCACTCCCAATACCAAAGCCAGATAATGCTAGATTTCTAATTTCCAAGGGCGGCCATACACGAAAACCAGCATACAGTGTCATCAGGAAAACATAGGCGCAACTAATGACTACAGATATAAGGAACGCAATGAAATACCGGTGATTTGCTGCTCCAACACAGTTTCCTATCTGCACAAAGAAGTAAATTACTAATAAATAATCATACACCCTTAACAGATATCCAATCTCAGAGTTACTAGCTTGTGAATGCTAGTTTGCTATATAAAATACAACCTCATAATTGTGTATTCTTAAAAGCATCTCACAACTTAGAACACTAGTAAATTAAACAAATTACACTGCATAATCAGTAATAAAGTGCTTCAGAATTAAACCATCAAAGATGTCAGCGTGTGATCCTTCTCCAATAATAATTCCATATGAATTTGAAGTAATATCAAGAACACATGAAAGGGTAGAATGATTACTTTTTGAACTTTCGACAACAAAAAGATGTTAGAATTTAAGCATCCTAGATGAGTTCAATTTTTTATGCAATAAAGTGCGGTATCTCTTACAATTTACTAGGACCAGAACATATACTCGAGTTATATGACAAATTATGGTATCACTCTCTTGCATGAATAAATAAGAGACCAGCACCCCTCCCAACAGCAAAGAAGGTCAGAGGCTGATGCCATGGGCCTTCCTGATATTTAGAATACACTGCCCACGTAAAAATATATACCTGAGGTGAACATCAAGAAACAACACAGACCAAGTACCGCTCAATCAAGCATGTTCCAGTACATGGCTGTTGATTATTTTAAAGTGTCCTGCCATATTTTACTATTTCAGTGCATGCCACCACACATTACACAGCATGTAAAACATCAGAGAAGCACCAGAGTCAGCATTGTGTTTCTCAATATCTGCTCCTTTATTCTAAACGATACACCTCGTTGGTTTCTTTTCCATGATTTCTTTATAATTAAAAAACTAAAGCGAGGTGGCTTCATCATGTCCTCTCTTTATCGTCATAGTTTGACACTTTTGTCCAGGGCCTCAAAGAGCAATCGTAGCCTGGCAAGAAACCCAATCACTATAGTTAATGTAAATCAACTTGATCTCTTGCCCTTGCAAGCTCAATCTATCTTGTCATTGCAATTGCCAACAAAAATGTCAACATCACAATCCCACAAGACAGATGACTAATGATAAAAAAAATACAGCTGAAGAGGGTATCAACAATATGGAGACTGTTAAAACTGCTACTTCTTCATCGGTTCTAAGAAGTACATTGGAGCACCTTTTGATCTCATAAAGTAAGCACACTTAAGTTAGATCTCCTTTTCTTTTCAGTAGAACACTAGACTACATCCAATCGATGAATTAATACACCAAATTTTAATCCTTACCATCTTACCCCAATACGTTAGCAGTTTTCACTATAGTAATCTGATGTTTGAGAGAATATTAGGGTCAAATCATGAAGTACAAAACCAAACATGTGTCCAAATAGTGGTGTCCAAACACAACAGAGAGGTCACACTACTCTTATAATAACTACTTTGAAGCATGTCACTGTATTCCATGCATGATATATCTGCAACTTATTTAAATAAGCTACCAGATCTCTACCCAGAAATCAACATTGGGGAAACAAATTCTTCATAATTTTCCACCATAGGATACAATCTTTGATGTACCAAAAAATATAACCATAATTTCAACTTTAAGGTAAACAGCTACTGCAGGTTATAGTTCAATGAGCAGAAATCTATATACATTTCTTAAAATTAAGCAAATAACTAGATTTTCTCTTTCTTTAGCTGACATCTTCATAACATTTTCCTGAGCTGGAGAATATATTTGATGATTATCTCCTAACTAAGATGCATTACTTTCTTAAATAGCCTTTTTGAAAAATTTCAGAATGCCCTTACAAGACACATCTCAGGATATTTGCCTGACCTGTACCACTCCAAAAAGAGAATTTTGCAGTAGCTCACAAATTTTGACTTGGCCTACTTTTGGGGACCCTTTAAGCACTAACTAACAAGATGTTGCTTAGCTATGGAGACCCATTTCCAGCTTTTTTCAAAATACTGCCAGCATGAACCTATGCTTGAAACACTTAACCAAACTAAACATATCTTAAAAGATTGTGTCTGACTAAGATCGGCCATAAAAGCAGCCAACTTAGCAGGTAAGACAGAAGTTTTGATCAACAGGCTAAAATACAAATCATGGCACTATCCCGCCATAATGAAAAGCATGTAATATAGAAGTTAATGAGATATGAACAAGTTCGTTGAAGATGGTATATAAATTCCATCTACACGTGGTATAACTACACTTGATTCCACTAGTTCATCAGAATTCAATGATTAAGAAAAGATGAAAGAATAGCAAGTCATATCAGTTTGGTACCTACAAATGGGCAGTGATGGACCCATATCCATAAAACTTTATTTCAAAGGAAAAATAAAATGAAAGAAGAGTAAGTTACATTCATTTGGCACTTACAAATGGACAATGATGATCCATATCCAAAACACACATTCTACAGGAACGGCAGTGGTGTGCCCTTGGCGGCTTTGGCTTAGAACAATAAGCACAATATGTGTAGTTTTCCAGGCCATCTTTCTCCACAATTGGGTAGCTTCCCCATGGTATGTTTGCTGGTGCCCCAGCAGAACGAAAGGCTGCTAAGCAGAAACTGGAGACGGTAATAATAGACAAGACAGATGTTAACAGGCAATGAACGATTCCACAGAACTTGCTGATTGAGAAAACAGCTGGGTAGACTGCCCAAACACCAGTACCTGTTATCGGTAGAGATAACAGGAAAATCGTTAAACGCTCTCAAATGTAACTTTATCTTGGCACTCAAGAAATGCAGAAAGTAATTATATGTTCCCGATCAGAACAATGAAGGTACAAAAGATAGGTTTGCAGCTTACATATCACAAATAGCATGAAGAAAATTAGAATAGTAACAAAAAGGCGGTCTCGTACACATCTCCACCAAGAAAACCACGTGCTATCGGGTTTCCTCAAAGTTTTGCATTGATCTGTTATTGCTCCACACCATCCACATTTGAATATTGGTGAATAAGATTCAAGAACAAGGTGTAATCCACATCCCCAGCATGTGGTCTTGTGATCCTCCAACATTAATGAAACAGAGTTCTCTTCCTACATATGGTCATGGATTAAGAATCAGATTTTGAGATACCAAATACATCAGCTCTTGAAAAAACTATTTAAAAAAAAAAGGAAAAGAGATATATCAGGAAAACATTGTCTTGGATGACAACCTATACTGTTAACCTTTGGAAAATCAAATTTCTACATCATATGTACCTCAACTTGTAACTGTCTACTAATTTGGCATAGAAGGAAATCACAATAAGGAGATTGTTAATCTGCTATCTCTGCACTTGCTGGGCACTATAATTAATAGGTGGAACAAACAACGAAAATGAAGAATCAACAGCTGTATGGAAAGTCTATGAAACCATCCAAGTTTAGCAGTTTTACCACCAAGAGTATCCTAAAAATTCCTATGAGAATATCATTAAGCAAAAAATGTTAAGATTTAAGAATGGTTTCGAAAGGATGAACATAAAAATATAAATAAAAGTTGTCGCTTGAACTATTCCAGAAATTTAACGGGTAACAGAGTTTGGTATCTGTCATCAATGGATCAACCAACATTTTTCCATTGATATGGGATATGTTGTGGAGCACAACCTCAAAAAAAATAAAGGGACACACCACGTACAATTTGTCAAATTTTACGTCATTTAATAGTCTTTGTCAACCGTTTAGAGCTGACACAATATCACCCAAGTCAAAATTTGAGGAAAAAGGGACTTGTCCATGAAACTAAAGGCCAATGATGTGAAGAAAAAATTACCATGTTGTAGGACTTAAGCTCACACAACCATGGACCAACAACATGAACTTTCCCTGGATTTGTGCAACATCTAGAAAAAACAAGAACTGACAAGTTCACCTATGGGACGCAATAATCATCACAGGGACACAAATAAGGTAACAAAGTAACAAGCAAATGAAACAGTACCTGAAGACAATCAACTATGGTAAAATCAGCTGCATTATTAACTCGGTTAGGAGGATGAGACTGGCTACATCTGACCCTACCCATGCTCCATAATTGTGGCCTCGTGCCTCGGCATGTCTTTTTTACTTCATGAAACCATTTACAGAAATACTGTCTATCTTAAGGAAATTCAACTAGACATCTGCACTGCATTCATTTATAGAAACCCTCATATGTTTTACCCAACTTATGTGTTTGTTAGTTATAGATTTCAGCTTTAAAAGACATGATCTCAAATAGTACACTGAATTTTCTAATGCATAAACACCAGGGTCACATAGCTCAAATAATGCCAGATAACTAAATTGTCATAGATGAGTGGATCCTAGAAATAGTTGTAGGCTCAGATAGAGTTTCAAAGCTTTGCTAGTTGAGCGCAATGACTTGAACAGATCCATGCAGCCAATCCCAAATGCTTCGGACCTTAGGGCTTATTGTGGTCTATATAAGTATGGTGAAATTACTTCATTTTTGGGGATTGCAATCAGCATTTCTCACCTGAATCTGTTTCTGCATGCTCAATGCTAAGAACAATGTGAATGTTTTGGCAATGATGTTCAAGTTTCCAAGATGATACTTCTGGAAACCTGAAAAGTTCAAAGCTCAAACAAGCACAGACAGTCAACCTTTACTTGCAATAGTCTGGAAATATACATCAGGTAATAGAACTGCAAACCTAATCCAATCTCCAAAACCTGCAACAATTCATTGCCATTGCACCTAAATAGTGCGTGCCTTACAGAAGTAACCCAAACATTAATAAAAATATATATGTACCCTTACAAAGCATCACAATGAACAGAAGACCTCAACGGAAAACAACTGCAAATGACGAAAATGAATGTTTTTGTAACTACAAAAAGAAAATTAACAACAAGGGATAGACAATAAAGTCAAGTCGACGACACTTGACTGGGTCCTCAAATAAAAGTACAAGAAACATCATCCAGTTCTCTCGGCACAAATACCAGTACCAAACAAGAGTCCTAAGGCTGCCTTTAATACAAGAATCACTTCCTAGTTAACCGAGTACTCGAATTATGGATCGATTTCCCTACATATTAATGACTTTATTGTTCCGTTCCCACCCCATAAGACATTCAAGCAACATCATTTCACACCAAAAGAGTCGCAACACATCGAAAAAGGATAAAAGATGAGACAATATTAGGGTAAACCAAGAAAAAAAGTCATCTTTCCTAAATCAAATAGCAACCGGAAGTTCAATTCCTAAGATTCCGAGTTCCAATCGCCACCCACAAATACAGCCTCAAGCAAGACACCAAGACACAAGCTTCTCGCGTCGCGATTCCGGCATCGGTGGGGCCGCCGCGACAACAACTGAACCCCCCAAGAACAAGAAGACGACGACGACGACCAAAATCCCGACAGACACCAAGGAACGAGGGATCGGTCAAATTACAAGACCAAGTGACGAGGGATTAGGGAAAAGAAGGAAAGAGCGGAAGAAGGGCGGAGACGGAATCGATTACCCTCACGGCCGCTTCATCCATGTACTCAATTTTCGGGGATGGAGACCGGCAGAGAGATCTGGGGCGCAGAACGCGGCCGATGGAGCCTCGCTTGGAAGCGAAGGCAAGAAAAGACGAAGAAATATATACGAAGAAGAGGAGGGGGTCACAGGAATTGGCTTTCCATTCGCCGGTCGGTCTACGAGGAGATTAAAATAAGGATGACAATCGTTATCTGCACGCGCTTTCCTTACGCGAGGCTCTTAGGCGCTGCTGAAGTGGTGGGACCACGCGAGAAGGCATTCAAGCAGATCGAGTCATTGCGCGTGAACGGAACCCACGCGTACAACGTACGCGTGGCCACAACATCGATAGGGTTAGTTGCAGATAAGCCCCTGAGATTTTGTCTATTTTACGTATGCATGCTTCAGAATTTACATATAAGTCCCGGCCCAACCCATGTATATATAGTTTTTGCTTTGCTTAGTTTGTATAATAGCGCACCTTTGGTAGTCCATCGCAACCAAAGCACAATTCCAAGGCTCACCCAAAATGAGTGAGTTTGAGAAGGAATCTTACAAGGCTAAGTTGGACTACCAACAAAATCCCACCTTTATTGCACACATCTCTCAGCGACTGACTTGGACTTCTGCTTGTGTGCAGGAAATTTTCGTGGAAATGTCGGTCCGGTAAGACTCTTCTGAATCATATTTTCTAGTTCCTCCAGGCTGCAAAATCGCTTTTTTTTTTGGGATAAGGAATAGGTTTAAGAGACTCTGGGTTTCTGGGCATTCTTGATTGCACTGGTTGGTGGATGAGTTTGCATTTTATTTTTGTGCAAATTCAAGCTGTAGGTCACACATCTGTAGTAAATTTGGGAAATTTACCTATCGGAGTAGGAGTAAAGCTCAACTGCTGAGCTGAACTTTGTGGTTTAATATTAGGCCAACCGGAGAAGAAGATGTTTCAGATTCTTACATTTTCTTGGAAGAAGAATTTGTTAGGGTTGTGTGAATTTGGATTTTGAAGCTTATAATTGTATTGGACCCTTTCCTAACAGTTTAAAGTTTCTGGGATTACTGATTACTGAATCGAAACCTTTGTCATGATGTCTGAGCTGGTTATGAGTTTGAATCCAAAATCCATCTCTTTTCATTTTGCTCGGTGTCTAGTCACTGTTTGTGCAATGCCTTTCCCCTTGTTAAGTTCAGTCTTATGTATCAAACCTAATCTGGCTTGCATGTGAAAGGCCATGTTAATGCTTATAAAAACTACATGAAGTTATTTAACTGTTGCTCTAGATTTTGTTCTATTGTCATTCAGACTTCTGTGTAGGTGCCAACTTATTTGGCATGATATAACAAAATTGGGATATATTTAAATTTATCCTGTCATGCATTTTTATTTATCCAGTGTATTTATATTTTTCCAATAATGGGGCTGCCAAATTGCTGATGCAGATTCTTAACAGGTGCCCATCATAAGCATTAAACGAGGCAAACTACATCATACTGCCAGCAGATTCAGCATCCATCGCATGCTCAATGTCACAATGATCAGCACTCACAGTTGCTTCAGATATGCTTATATGATCCATCAAGATGAAGTCCACCTTCTTTACCAGTTGTTGCCCAGTACTTACATGCAGCTTTATCAGATTACCTATAGGGCTTAATATCAGATATTGACCCTGCCACAGCAAAACTTGCTATCACAGTCACAGGCTCTTTGCTCTCGGCATTTTGGGTTCTTATTCATTCTAAGGATTGTCATGTCTTGGTACCCCAAGCTCCTGGTGAACCAATTTCCTTATGTTGTTGCTTATGCTCCTACAGAACCATTTCTCAGCATAACAAGGAAGGTGATGCCTCCTCTTGCTGGAGTGGATGTCACACCTGTTGTTTGGTTTGGACTGGTTAGTTTCTTGAGTGAAATATTTGTAGGACCTCAAAGGTTATTAGTGCTTCTGTCTTGACAGGTCTAGCTTGTTGATTTGTGTACAGTTCTATTTTCTCAACATTTCTTTTCCTCCTTGATAACCAGTTGCCTAATTGTGGTATCACATGAACTGATTAATCAAACCTTTTATCATGCTGTTGCATCAGAGAAAAAGTCTATTTTAATTGATCTCCAATATCTGAAGTCTATGTCCCTGCAAGTGTTTACCAAATGTTTGGAGAACAACAGAACACTTGGTAGTCAAGCAGGCTTTCTAATCAAGAACTTGTATGTATCTGATGCAGTAATCCTGTGACTGATTAACCAAACCTTTTATCATGCTGTTGCATCAGAGAAAAGTCTGTTTTAATTGATATCCAATTGCTGAATTCTATGTCCCTGCAAGTGTTTACCAAATGTTTGGAGAACAACAGAACACTTGGTAGTCAAGCAGGCTCTCTAATCAAGAACTTGTATGTATCTGATGCGGTAATCCTGTGACTCATGTACAGCTACAACTGACATAAATCTTCAGCACTTGTTGTGGAAGCTCCATAAGAATTTAGGAAATTTTACTTGTAGTCAGCTCAGCTCAGTAGCATGACTGTGCTCTTGATGCTGGAGATTATTCGGGTTAAGCAGATTGCTCAGGAAAATATAAAACTCCTCATTAGCAAGTACTTACTCTGTCACTCGCTTTCCAGATCATGAGGATTCTAAACAGTTAATTTCCCTTCATTTGCCTGCCATACATTCCTCATTAATGTCATTTTGGTGCTCTTGTTGCTACAAGAAATACTCTGCTAGCCATTGTGGCCATGAAGAAAAGAAGAACCTTGATGTACTTCCAAAGGATTCATTGTTACAAAACTCCAATTAGCCTACATGTTGATATAGAGATTACAAGATTATTATGGCCTCTTAACGTTTATCCGAAATTGCATCAGTGAAGATTTTTTTGTCTTCATGGTTCATATTACCATCCCATCTGCTGAGTTTTGACATCTATGATATCTACATTATCTTCAAAGTAAATGATTGTAGTTGTTTTGCTTCTCTTTTCTTTTCAACCTAGCAAAACCTCAAATTTGCATTTCAATTGGTTACCTGTTACAATAATGTGATACTGAATTAAGTAGAATCTTCTTTTAAGCAGAGTGTTACACTGTAGGCTATGATTGTGGTTCAAAATGCAGGTAAATCCTGAGAAAGCAGATAATTTGAGATACTTCAACCTCCATGGCTCATGAATCATAGTGCTTTGAACCAGATCTGCTCTGTAGCAACTGTTGGATTTATCCACACCAGAATGGTGCTAAGTTCTAGGCTTCTGCAGATGCATATGGTTGCATACAGAACTATCTTGGACAGTAATGTGGCCTTTAAACATCATTTAGGCTCTAAAATTAGACTTCAGCCTCCAGTAGACAATTTGTCCACTACTGTAACACTTAAGTTTGTACTGACTGGATATATTAGTATCAATAACTAATTTATGGATATTTTTATTTAGGCAGTCACATCTATTTTCTTATTCCCAGAATTTACAGTCATCCATGGCCAAAAAGTTGTCAGGTAATAGCCATAATGGTAACCTAGTTGCAGTGTGCAGACAAGAGATGGCTTTAGACATTAGACATCTTGATGCTGTTGTTAGGTGATTTATTATTTTATCTTTGTATCAGTTAGCATTCTTCTTTTGGAGCTAATAGGAAACTATCATGTTCATGCTACCTACAATCTTGAACAGACTAGTTATTAGTAATTTGGATTTAAACATATCAGGTCACGCTGATCGAATCAGTTTGGTTTGAAATGCTGGCCTGATAGACCTGTACAGTCAGGTTCTAACAATTGGTTTTTTGTTGCAGTCAAAGAAACAAGATGATGCTGAGGCCATGGCAGCACAAGGTTTTGTGCCAAATATCAGAAAGATTGGATTTATTTTCTGATTAGAGAATAAGCTTGTTGCTTGGTGGATGCAACTACTTTCAAATGCTGCTTCTTTTGGTGCAAACCAGTGGTCCCATGGAAACATACATACTGTATACCAAATGGCATTTTTCTCTCTGCTGCATCTGTTACCTCTTTGCTTCTTGGTCATGTGATGCTGTCAAAAATGTGCTGTCCTGAGATGTTTGTAATACTGAATCAACTTTTGTTTCAGCAAAGAATGTCTCCTGATAATGATGTCTCAAGGAACCTGCACATGCATCTGAAATTGAAACAAACTGTGACTGCAGTTCATTCTGATGGTGTTAAGCAGCTCATCATCAGCATCTTCTTGTTCTTGATTTTTCCTATTGTAAAATATGAGTTGTCAAAGATTATTTCTGGTTATATTTGAGATGAACAGTGTTGAGCATCTCATCAGTCTCTTGCCTTGGTTGCAAGTAGAACAAAAACAAGGGGAGACTCTAGTCAAAGATTAATGATTGAATCAGATGCTGAGAACAGTTTTGAGTTTTCAGAATGGATGAAATGAATTGTTTTAGCTGAATTCATTTACAATTAACACATGGCAAAGCTCTGAATTGAAAGCTATCATTATAGATTTTTGTGGTTTTTGCTATATATAATTCTACACACATAGAATTATACAGAAGCTTTATAATGCCATTTATTCTACAATTGCATGCTTAATATTTTGCTATGAGCTGAATCATGAGGAACTTACAAGAAAGAAAAGGGGATTTAAATAAATTCTCATCAGTTCTATATAGTGAAAGCTTTACAAACTCCTCCATTGGTGTTCAGCTGATCTCACAAACAAATGTTACAATGTAAATCTTAGCTGAAACCAAATCAAATAACAATCAATTATAAGACAAACAAAATGAAGCTCACAATAGACATACACAACTCTTACAAACTGCTCTTATACAGAAGGGAAAAGAGAAGAACTTATTGCTCTACTTTGATACCTTCATAGGAAGAAGGTTGTGAGCGCAGCAAGTCAACAGAGCCTTGGCATTCCTCTGCTGCCATGGCTCGTGGACTTGCCCTTCGCCATCTTCGCCATTTGACCCTTCATGTTCTTGCACACCTTCTCCAGTTCCTTCACCCTGCACTGCATTCTTTGCAGGTTGAGCCTGAGCTGCTGCTCCTCGTCCAACAACTCCGGAGAGACCCCCTCAGCGGCCGTCTCGGTGGTGCGAGCGACTCTCCTTGGCGTCTGCGACGCCTCCGCCATGAAGCTTCGGATCTGCATCTCGGATTGCTGCGAGGCCAGCGCTTGCACTGCGACTCCC